GTCAACATGTTGTGAAGTAGGGAACTGTTGTTATCTTCATTTTATGTGAGAAAACTGAGTCACAGAGGTTGCCAAAGGTCACCCAACAAAGAAAGTAAGGGGTAGGATCAGGAGAAGACCAAGACGCGGAGGGAAGAACCACTTTGAGTAATCGGGACCTGATTTGATGTTTTTCTGGTTTTTTGTTGATGGATTTGGCTAAGATTTCCAAATAGAGTCTTTAAAAATGACAATAAACAATTCCTGTTATCAGTATATTTTCAAAATGCCTTTGTAGAGAGGAAGATTATTTTTGAACCAGATAACCTGGGGTCCTGCTTTGTAAGCCCTTTGGATTCCAACTGTTTTTGTGAGATATCTTCCCTTCCTTCCATAAAGATGAGAGCCAGGATTTCCTGGTAGGGCATTGCCCTTTAAAGTGGACTTTGGAAAGAGTTCAGCCAGTTCTCTTAAAAGTATTTGGGAGCTGGTGACTAAAGTCCTCACACCAAGAAAAAAACCACAAAATAAGAGATTTACATAAGATAACAGTTTCTTTCTCACATAAAAAATTAAAAATCAAGCGCTTATACAGCAGCTCACATGGTGTCATCAGGGACATATCAGGTGAGTCTGCTCCCTTTAAAAAAATCTTCCTGCAAGTCCTACCTAATATATCCACTTACACATTGGCCGGATTTTAGACATGCAATCTCACCCAGCTGCAAAGGAAGCTGGAAAGCATGCTCTTTTATTTCAGGAAGCAACACACTCAGCTAAAAATTGGTGTTCTCTTATTAAGTAGGAAGGGGAAAATAGATGTTGGGTAAATAATTAGCAAACTCTGGCACACTGGGTAGAACCTTCCTTTAAAAAAAAACAGGGGCCGGCCCCGAGGCCAAGTGGTTAAGTTTGCACACTCCGCTGTGGTGGCCCAGGGTTTCACCGGTTCGGATCCTGGGCTCGGACCTAGCACTGCTCATCAGGCCACGCTGAGGCGGCGTCCCACACAGCAGAACTAGAATACACAACTATGTACTGGGGAGCTTTGGGGAGAAAAAGGAAAAAATTAAAATAAAAATCTTTAAAAAAAAACCCAAAAAGTTTTATTGAAGTATAATTGACATACAATAAACTGCACATATTTAAAGTATGTAATTTGACAGATTTTGACATAAATATACACGCTTGTGAAACCGTCACCGCATTAAGATAATGAACATATCCATCACGCCAAAAGTACCCTTTTGTAATTGCCACTTCCCACCCACCCGCTGTGTTGGATTCTTCTGCAATTACAAAACATCTTTCCATTCTCTCTCTTTTTTTTTTTTTTAGGGAAGATTAGCCCTGAGCTAACTGCTGCCAATCCTCCTCTTTTTGCTGAGGAAGACTGGCCCTGAGCTAACATCTGTGCCCATCTTCTTCTCCTTTATATGTGGGAAGCCTACCACAGCATGGCTTTTGCCAAGCGGTGCCATGTCCAAACCCGGGATCCGAACCAGCAAACCCCGTGCCGCCGATGCAGAACGTGCGAACTTAACCACTGTGCCACCAGGCCGGCCCGCTTTTCATTCTCTTAACAGCATCTTTCAAAGGGCAGGGCAGAAGTTATTCATTTTGATGAAGTACATTTTTATCAATTTTTTTCTTTTAGAGATTGTTCTTTGGTGTCATAGCTAAGAAATCTTTCCCTAACCCAAGTTCCCAAGTATTTTCTCCTGTTTTTTTCCTTAGAATTTTTTTTTTTTTTTTTTGAGATTGGTGCCTGAGCTAACAACTGTTGCCAATCTTTTTTTTTTTTTCCTGCTTTTTCTCCCCAAATCCCCCCAGTACATCGTTGTATATTTTAGTTGTGGGTCCTTCTAGTTGTGACATGTGGGATGCCTCCTCAGCATGGCCTGATGAGCAGTACCATGTCTGCGCCCAGGATCCAAACCGGCAAAACCCTAGGCTGCCGAAGCGGAGTGTGCAAACTTAACCACTCGGCCTCGGGGCCGGCCCCCCAGAGTTTTATAATTTTATGTTTTACATTTAGATTTGTAATCCATTTTGAATTGATTACTTTAGACAATACAAGATATGAATTGAAACTCCTTTTTTTGCATATAGATATTCAACTCATGAACAGTGTATATCTCTCTATTTTGGTCTTCTTTAATTTCTCTCAGCAGTGTTTTATAATTTTCAGTGTGCACATCTTGTACATTTTTTGTCAGATTTACCCCTATGTATTTCATATTTTTTGATGCTGTTGTGAATTATATATTTTAAGTTCCAATTTTCAATTATTCGTTGCTAGTATATAGAAATACCATTGATTTTTGTCTATTGATCTTGTATTCTGCAGCTTTTCTAAACTCACTTATTATTCTAGGTTTTGTTTTTTGTTTTTTGTTTTGTTTTGTGTTTTTGGCAACAACCACTTTATTGCTCTTGATTCTGGGCATCAGGTAAATGGAATAGATTCACCAGGGTCAGATTCATTTGTCCTTCATGTGGTGTTTGCTGGGGCGGTAGAATGGGCTGGAAGATCCAAGATGAGTTCACTCAAATGTCTGATGGGATGACTATAACAGCTAACAACTGGGAAATGACTCAGATTCACTTGCCATGACTAGAAAGGTTCTGGACTTTTTTAAAAAAAATTTTTATTTTTTTCCTTTTTCTCCCCAAAGCCTCCCGGTACATAGTTGTATATTCTTAGTTGTGGATCCTTCTAGTTGTGGCATGTGGAATGCCGCCTCAGCGTGGCTTGATGAGCGGTACCATGTCGGTGCCCAGGATTCGAACCGACGAAACACTGGGCCGCCTGCAGCAGAGCGCGCGAACTTAACCACTCAGCCACGGGGCGGGCCCTGGACTTCTTGATGTGGTGATTCAGGGCTCGAAGAGAAGGAACAGTGAACATGCCATGCCTCCTAAGGGCACAGTCCGGACTGGCACAGCTTTACTTCTGCCACATTCTATTGGTCAAAGCAAATCACAAGATCCAGAAAAAGGGGGGAAATCCCAGCATCTGATGAAGGAGCATCGTGTGTGTGTGTGGTGAGGGAAAGAATTTTTGGCAGCCTTCTTTGTAGACATTTTGGCATGGGGTCCACTAGTACCCCACAGTTTCTCCGTGGGAGGGGCATCTTCACGTGGGATAATTTCTTGATCAGCCAGAAAGAAGCATCATAAAGAAGAGGGCTTGTCTTGTTTTGTCCCCTGCTGTACTCACAGTATTCAGAGTGTCTGGCATAGGACAGGCCCTGGTAGGCTCCGGGTGCATCTCGGTGAGAGGAGAGACCTCTCCGGAGACTGAGACATTGGTGGTGGCTGGTGCTGTCACCCAGTCCAGGCATGCTGACACTGGCCCTGGCTGACGCCATTGAAGTTCCTCCCCTGGCCTGTGAGCCTATTCTAGTAGGTTTTTTTTAAGATTCCATCAGATTTTTTACATAGATGATTATACATCTGAAAATAAAGACAGTTCTATTTCATTCCAATCTGGATACTTTTTATTTCTCTTTCTTGCCTTCTTGCACCAGTTAGAACTTCTAGGGGGCCAGCCCTGTGGCACAGTGGTTAAGCTCTCGCACTCCGCTTTGGCAGCCCAGGGTTTGCTGGTTTGGATCCCAGGCGTGGACTTGTTACATACCATTCATGAGGCCATGCCATGGCAAGGGTCTCACATATAAAATAGAGGAAGATGGGCACAGATGTTAGCTCAAGGCCAATCTTCCTCAGCAAAAACGGAAGGATTGTTGGCAGATGTTAGCTCAGGGCCAATCTTCCTCAGCAAAAACAGAAGGATTGTTGGCGGATGTTAGCTCAGGATTGATCTTCCTCAAAAAAAAGAACCTCTAGTATAATACATAAAAGTGGTGAGAGTAGGGGCCAGCCCGGAGGTGCAGCGGTTAAGTTCGCACGTTCCACTTCTCGGCGGCCCGGGGTTCGCCGATTCGGATCCCGGGTGCAGACATGGCACCACCTGGCAAAAGCCATGCTGTCGTAGGCGTCCCACGTATAAAGTAGAGGAAGATGGGCATGGATGTTAGCTCAGGGCCAGTCTTCCTCAGCAAAAAGAAAAGGATTGGCAGTAGTTAGCTCAGGGCTAACCTTCCTCAAAAGAAAAGAAATTCAGTACAACTGAAGCTGAGAGTATGAGGAAGGAGTGCAGAGAGAGCAGTCAGAAGTAAACGCGGGGGCAGAGAGCTACAGCACTGAAGAGCAAACGCGTGTGAGATGGAATCTAATTCTCAGGACTTGCTGTCACTCTGGTCAGCACGCTCTCTTGGATGACTCCCCGTTCTCCAGAAGCTCCCCAAGGGAAAGAGTCTTTTAAGAACTTGAACCACTCCAAATGGAGGTGGAAGAGCAGCATCCGGGGTTTCTCTCCCGGCACCTGCTAGAAGTCCAGGGTCGCCCCGCCTTGGAGATTAGAGTCGGATTAGAGATGCTGAGACTCCAGAGCGGGGCACAGTCCCGTCACTTTCAGTTAAGGGCAGTTTCCTCATCGTGGCACTGAAGATGTTCTGCGTACTTGAAGCAAAGTTCAGCTGAAATCGAATTTGTGGCTATTGAAGTCACTTCCTGCCAAATGGTATCTGTTTTGTTTGTGTAGATTATCTCCTTGTTGCTGGAGATTTACATGTAAATGCTTCAGGTGTGGTTACATGTAAGGTGGAAGAGGAGCTGGGTAAGCAAAATAAACATCTGTACCCCTCCCTTAGTCTGTTCCCCCCTCAGAGATTGTTCCCACATGTTAGGAGTGAAAAGGCATCTTGGTTTGGCTTGAGATAAAGGGACATCCACAGAGGTTCATGGAATAATTCCTTTTTTTACCCTTCAAGTACAACAGTTAACTAAAAGGGATGCTCTTTTACTGAAGGAGGCGACACGGTTTGGCCTGAGAATGGCATTCTAACGTTCTTACTTTAGATAAAGCAGCATTTCCCCCAAGAGAATGTCTCATAAATTTTCTTCTCATCAATTCCTTACATTTGACCAAATCTTCTTTCTCTAAATTTTTCTAGGCTGTTCAGCTTGACCCTGAAGAAACTGGTCATGCTAAAAGAAATGGACAAGGACCTTAACTCAGTGGTCATTGCCGTGAAGCTACAGGTGAGTTGAGCAGGATGGTTTGTTCAGGGTCCCAGAAAGCTGGGTAATGATTTGCCCACTGTTGGGGCTTCAGAAATATCAATGGGGGGCCACCTCTCTCTTCTTTCACTCAGCAAAGCAAGTACAATAGTAGAAGGATGATGGCGCCCGTGAGACCTACAGTGTTCCAGTTCTGCCTCTTAGCGCTCAGTTGCTTTAAACCTTAGTCTGTTTGTCTAAAATTTTAAAAAATGGTTCTTCCTCCCCTGCCTATCTAACAGGATTAGTATGAAGATCAAGTGATGTGGATGCTAAAGTGTTTAGTAAATTGTTCAGAAATTACTAGGCGGGTAGTGTCAGTTTCAGTCTTGTCCCCAGGATTTCTAGGTCCAAACAGGCACATGGGTTGGGGAAGCACTTTTGACGTTTTCTATAGGGTAGAAGAAACTTACAGATTATTATTTCAGACTTGGCAATGTATAATTTACTTGGATATTTTATCTCCTGAGTAATCCCCAGATTTAATTCCTTATGCTTAAGTCAGTACCTTCAAGGGACCCGAAATATTTCACAAACATTCATATTCTAAGCATTCCTGAATTTCAGGAAAGAAGGGAGAAACTGAACTACAGAAAGGTTAAGGAATTTACCCGGTGCCAGCTAATTACCAAGTGGCAGAAGTAGGACTAGAAACTAGAGTCAGTAATTTGTGAAGTCGTCAAACTTCATTACCAGACCTTCCTTAACTGATTGCTCCTCTCTAATGAGACTCCCTGGAGCTCACTGAGATTCTGAAGTGCTTCCGGAGTCATTAAATAACGATGGCATTCTTCAGTTTAAGAACAGTGTGCTTACTGAATTCCTACCCGCTGAAAAATTGTGATCTATATGGTAACTCCCTACTAACCAGAATATTTTATTAGCTAGATCACCTATAATGCAGCAATTTATTGCGCTAATATTGCGTTCATTAAAATCGACGTCTATAGCACTCACAGTGTGGGAACTATGTGTTGAGGTCCTCAGGTCTCGTTATCTCAATTTAGTCCCCCAAATTAAAACATTTTATTTACTCCTTATGAATTCCTGTGTGTCCCATCTTGTATTCTAACTCCGTGTTCATCCTTTGTGCATAATTCCTCCCAATTCTGTAAAACGTCGCCAGACACTATGGGTTGAAAAAACAAGTGTGGGACAGTGATGTGCAAGTGGAAACTCTCAGTGTCTTTTTCTCCTTTCCTGACTTTGCACCCTGTTTCTAGGTCACAGGCAGTGTTCCAGTTTTCAGGAATTGTTTCCTATGCTAAAAGCTGTTGCTTTCCAATGCAAACACTGTTGGTGTAGCTTTGAAAGTTCCCTGCCGCTTTTGCCGTCCCCACAGTTAAATGCCTTTGCCAAAAGAAATAATTTCTTTTATTTCCTGATTAAATATTTAATATTCTTTAAAATTTAAAATTATACCCAAAACTACAAATATCCTGAATTTTTTATTGCTTTGTTTCCAAGCAGCTGAAAGTAATTACAGATGTTCTCATATTGGTTTATCCAGACACTTATTTATTCACTCACACAATAAATATTTATTGAACACCTATTACATATTGTTCTAGGCACAGGGGATACAACCGGGAACAAGACAGACCAAAATCCCTGCCTTTAAGGATCTTTCCAGGCCAGTAGAGCAGCAGTTCTCAAAATGAGGTCTGCAGACCCTGGGCTCCCTAAGACCCTTTCAGGGGATACATGAGGTCACAGTGGTTTTCAAGATAGCATGGTAGCATTATTTGCCCTTTCCACCGTGTTGACATTTGCGTTGAAGGCACAAGAGCGGTGGTGGAGAGAACAGCTGGTCCTTAGCACAAATCAAGGCAGTTGCACAGAATGTACCAGTAGTCATTATATTGTTTACAGACTCAAAGGAAAAAGGAAAAAGCCAGTTTTGCTTAAGAGTGTCCTTGAAGAAGCAGTAAAAATTGTTAACTTATTGTGTCTCTGGATACAGTAAGCCCTGGAGTACTTGTCTTTTTAATATTCTGTGTGATGAGATGGGAAATTTGCATAAAGCACTTCTTCCTAGCGAAGGATACTGCTGTCTCGAGGACGAGAGCTTTGCGAGTGAGTTGTGCATTAAAGTAGCTGCTTTTTTCATGGAACACCATTTTTACTTGAAAGAAGGACTTACAGACAAACTTGTTATTCAGACTCAGCTATTTTCTTGAAAATGAATGTGTGAGCATGTCACTTCAAGGGAAACAACTGAGAATATCTTTGGCCAATTAGAAATAAAATTTGAGCTTTCCAGTGAAAATTAGAATTTTGGAAAACTTATCTCTGTCCCTGTAAGCTTAACAGCTTTCCAATTCCTAAAGACTTTAACTGAAGAGATCGGTGGTGATAGTAACGATTAGGATTGTTTTTACTGTATAACGAAATGTGTAACATTTGAAAGATTTGACTAACTTAGTGAACCAATATTTTCCAAATGACCAATGCGTGAGGCTACAGAATTATGCTGGGCAAATTCATTCAAAGAACTAAGTAGAACAATGGATTGGATTTTATTTTTAGCTTTTTATTTTGCAATAATTTTAAATTTACAGAAGAGATGCAGGAGTAGCATGTAGAGTTTCCGTATACCCCTCACCCAGTTTCTCCCGGTGTTAACATCTTTCTTAACCATGGGACGTTTATCAAAACTGGGAAATTATCATTGGTACTGTGCTGTTAACTAAATTACAGACTTTGTTCAGATTTGCCAGTTTTTCCACCGATGTCCTTGTTTTGTTAATTGATTGGATTTTAATATATAACAGAGTATAAAAGCCTTATTGAGATGGTTTCAAATTCTACTTTGCTGACTTACTAACCTTTAAGAGACTACCACTTGTAGAGTTTTGGTGTAGTATCGGAGAAGAATATTTCACAATTATCTGAAAAGGCTGTTAAAAAGCTCCTCCTTTTTCTAACTTCATATCTCTTTGAGTTTGGATTTTTTTCATGTACCCAACCAAAAGAGTATTTTGCAGCATACTGAATACAGAAACAGGTATGAGAATCCAGCTGTCTCCTATTAAGCCAGACATTAAAGAGATCTGCAGAAATGTGAATGTATCCAGTCTCCCTCATACACTGCTGACGGGGGTGCAAAATGGTGCAGCCGCTTTGGAAAACAGGCTGGCAAAAGATTAAACATAGAGTTACCATATGACCCAGCAGGTCCACTCTAAATATTACCCAAGAGACATGAAAATATGTCCACACAAAGTTTTGCACACACTGTTCTTGGGAGCTTAATAGCTAAAAAGTGGAAACAACTCGAGTCCATTGACTGATGAATGAATAAATAAAAAGTAGTATATCCATACAGTGGAGTATTATTTGTTAATAAAAAGGATAAAATACATCTATGCTACAACATTGGTGAATCTTGAAAACATTATGCTAAATGAAAGAAGCCAATCACAAAAGATTTCATTTATGTGAAATGTCCAGAACAGGCAAATCTGTACAGTCAGAGAGTAAATGAGTGGCTGCCTAGGGCTGGAGGTGAGGTGACTGGGAGTTTGGTAGGGTGACAGCTAAAGAATATGGGGTTTCTCTTTGGCGTGATGAAAATCTTCTAAAATTGATTGTGTTGATAGTTGCACAACTCTGAATATACTAAAAGCCATTGAACTGTACGCTTTAAATTGGTGAATTGTATGGTGTTTGAATTATATCCCAATAAAGCTGTTATAAAAAAAACTGTGCCATCTTCTTACTAAATTGTTTTTGTTTTGGAAAAGGATATTTTTCATAGAAAGTATTTTTATGTAAACACATAAGTTTATTATGGTTATTTTTAAATGCATTAATACATATTTTTAAAATCTCAGTTTTCATTCCTAATATGGTAAATATTGATAGAATCACCTACGTAAACAAAAAATTGGGAGATCTTCAGTAATTTTTAAGAGTGTAAAAAGATCCTGAGATTGAAAAGTTTAAGAATCAATGTAGTAGTAGGAAAGAGATAATAAACATAATAGATAAGAAAATTATATACAAGTTTTCCTTGAAATCTAACTCATTCTTGAAAACTTGTTAGATGGCAGAAGCCTATCTCCCATTATTTAAATGGGCGAAATAACAATCCATTCTCAGACATCCACAACCTCAGCTTATTTCCTCAAATATCACTACAGCACTCTTAAATATGTATGTGACAATCCATCAAGAATTTTTTATTTAAAAAAGAGACATTTAAAACACCAGTAACCTAATTTTTCATGCATTAATACTCATTAATGAATATTTTTGTGTGCTGTGAGTAATGATACTGTAGTATCAGATATAAATTGTTTTGCTTCTATACTGCAAATGAAGATATACTGTCATAGAGATTAAAAATGATACGTAAAGAGACCAAAGATCGTTTTGAAATTGGACCCAAGTTGGTAGTGCCCCAGGCACTTGGAAGAAGCAAATACTGGGACCGTGAAGGGCTAAATCTTTGGAGAAGGGAGGGAAAGATGAGAACAGTAATGCACCATGCCTTAAAGAATGAACCAGCTGTGGCCCCGGGACTGCACTGAAATGTGTGCATCCCGTTACCTGCACATGCAGATTCGTCTTAACAAGCTTGCAATGCAGACAATGCAGTTGGGACAGAAAGTTTACAGATATCTATAGCACATATTTGGATAGTGAGAGTTCAAATAATGAGGGCTGCTGCTATTGGAAGGTGACATGTCCTATGGGGAAATAAATAAAATAAGATAAAGAGATTGGAGCATGCCAGATGTGGAGGAAGTTATAAATTGTATGTGGTGGTCAGGGTAGGCCTTATTGAGAAGATGACGTTTACACAAAGACTTTGAAGGGGGGCCGACCTAGTGGCTGAGTGGTTAAGTTCGCAAGCTCTGCTTCGACAGGGTTTTGCCCGTTCGGATCCTGGGCGCAGATGTGGTACCGCTCATTAAGCCACGCTGAGGCGGCATGCCACATGCCACAACTAGAAGGACTCATAACTAAAAATATATAGCTATGTACCGGGGGGCTTTGGGAGAAAAAGGAAAAATAAAATCTTAAAAAAAAAAAAAAAGACTTTGAAGGAGGTGAGGGAGGGAGTCATGCAAATATCTGGAGGAAGAGCGTTCCAGGCGGAAGGAAAAGCCAAGGCAAGGCCCTCAGGCGGGAACGTGTCTGGCACGTGTGACAGAATCAGGAGGAAGGAGGGGAGGCCAGTGAGGCTGGAGAGGAGTGGAGGAGGAGAAGAGGTCAAAGAGGTGGGGAGGCGGGATGTGCGTAGCTAATTTAAGGTCTCTGGCTTTCATTCTGCGTGAATTGGAGAATTTTGAACAGAGACATGATAGAATCACTCTGGCTGTTGTGTGGAGAATAGACTGTAGGCAGGAAAGAGGAATTAGGAAGACCAGTTAGTTAATAGGCTACGACACTGATTCTGGCAAGAGATGAGGGTGGTGCCAGAGTTTTGGCTTAAGCAACAGGTAGGGTGGAATTAAGTGAGATGGGGAAGACTGGGTGAAGCACGTTTGGAGGGAAAGATCCAAAATTCAGCTTATTATATTGTATTTGAGATGCCTATTAAACATTCAAGAGGAGTTGTTGAATATATGAGTTTAGAGTTCAGGAGAGAGGTCTAAGGTAGAGAGAAATTGGAGAGTCATCAACATATTTGAGACCATAAGGTTGGATGAGATAACCAGGAGTGTAGTGAATGAATATAGAGATGAGAGCAGGTCTAAGGATTGCGACCCCAGGCACTCCAACATTAGGAAGTTGGGAGGAGAGAAAGGACCTGGAATGGAGACCAAGAAAGCAGCTGGAGGGTAAGAGGAGATCCATGAGAGTGTGGTGTTCTGGGAGCCAAATGAAGGAGATGTTGATGGAAGTAGAGAGTGATCAGCTGTGTCAAAGCTGCAGATGAGTCAGGGAAGATGGGAACAGATCATCAGATTCCTCAAAGTCGAGGTTATTTAAGACCTTGTCAATGGCAGTTTTGGTGGAATGGTGGAGATAGGAAGGCTGACTGGAATGCATTTAAGAGAAAATGAGAGAAAACTTCAAGAGAGCAACAATAGGCAACTCTTGAGTTTGCTATAAAGGGAAGACGAGATATGGGGTGGTAACCAGCAGGTCATGTGGGGACAGGAGAAGTTTTTTGGGTTTTGTCTGTGTGTGTGTGAGAGAGAGAGAAAGGTTGTCACTGAGCTAACACCTGTGCCAATCTTCCTCTGTTTTGTGTGGGACGCTGGCAACACTGTGGCTTGACGAGTGGTGCTGGGTCTGCAGCCAGAATCTGAACCTGCGAACCCTGGGCTACCAAAGCAGAGTGTGTGAACTTAACCTCTGCTCCACCAGGCTGGCCCCTGATTTTTTTAAATGAGAGGAATAATAGCATGTTTGCTAATGGAAATGATCCATTTGTAGTAGAGATCCATTTGGAGAAATGATCCCTTATGTAGGAAAGGAAAGAATGGCCAGAACAGCATCTTTCTGGGTGAGAAGGGATGAGATCTGGTGCCTAAGTGGTTGATTTGGATGAGAGCAGGGCGGTTCATCTGTGTAACAGGAGGAAAGAGGGGATGGTACAAATGTGGTAAATAAGTAAGTGTGGTGGGAGTTGTGGGACCTCTTTTCGTATTGCTTCAATTTTCTCAGCAAGTAGGAATCAATGTTATCAGCTTAGAGTGAGGGGAGGGGTAAGCTGATGTTGGAGGTTTGGGGAAAAACGAGAAGATGTGAAACCATCATCTAATAGAGTGGGACAGTGAAAGAACTTGGGAAAGCATAGTATGATTGCCAGGCAGCATTGCAGGCCCGCTTAAGATCTGAGGTCATAAATTTAAAGTCAGAACAGTTAGCCTGACTGAGATTCTCTCCGGGCATGTTCACCCAGGGCAGGTGGATTTAAAAGGGTTGTAATTTACCAAGTGAGTATGGCGGAACAGTAGCAGGGCAGAGGAGTTAAGGGTGGATGCAAGGACGTGTTTATCAAGATTGATTATGGCATGTAAGCTGGGTAAGGAGGAAAGGGGATGGCAAGGGGTGAGAGGAAGAGTGAACCAATGAGCAGATCCCTGGATTGTAGGCGCTGGTGGCTTTGAAGGATTATATGATTGTTGGCAAACCAGAGAGAACGAGCTGGGAAGATAGGAGGCGTAATCAGAGAGTAGGATGTTTGAAGCTGAGATTAGGTGTTGGTTGTAATTGTTGGTAATGATGAGGTCCAAAGTACAATCGTGTGAGTGGCTAAGACAAGTGTGACGACAAGATCACTGGAAGAGAGGAATTCTGGGATTTAGAGGCCAGGATGTTGGAAAGAGTGTATGACTGGAGTAGTGTTGGGGAGAGAAACAGTGAGTGAGGAGCTAAAGTCAAGAAATGAGCAGGAATGACTGGCAGTTACAGATGACAACAGCAGCAAGAAAGAGAGGATAATATAAACTGATGACATCTCTTCAAAATGGGGAGTTTTAAGGAGGTGGAAGGGAGAATATTCTAGACCTGGTGATGAGAGGACACCTGTCCCACCTCCAAGCCCAGTGGCTGTGGGTTGTAGGAGAGAAGTAGCACCATTTGAGAGGGCTCCCCAGAAAGCAGTGTCTTCGGGGGGGTCAGGTTTCAGAGCAGCATTTCTCAACAGCGGCCCTGTTGACATTTGGGGCCAGATCATTCTGTTGTGGAGTGTGTCCTGTGCGTCATAGGATGGTCAGCAACAACCCTGGCCTCTGCCCTCTAGAAATCTCTCACACCCACACCACTTGTAACAACCAAAAATATCTCTAAATATTGCCAATGTCTCCTACCCCCTGGTATATATAACTGCTGGAAATAAACCACATTTTAGACTCTCCCAGCATTTCTGAGATTCATTTTATAGAGATTTCTTAAATCAAGAGAGCCCAAATAGAGTCAGGTGAAAACTTTGTCAAGATTTTTGTTTGTAATAGAGCTTACTACAAAAAGCGTTATCTAACAGATGAGGCAAAGTTTCCTTTATTACTTTTAATTGGTATAATACAATGTTATTCTAATTACAAAGCCATTGTGAAATGTTGTATTTAGGAGATTTTCCTTCTGCATCAAACAAATTTGCACTTTATAAAAACAGAAATTAGAAATGTATAAGAAGCCTAAATGTGAAAATTAAAATTTCTAAAGGAAAACATAACAGAATATCCGCACAACCTTGGAGTAGGCACAGATATCCTAGATAGTACCCAGAACGCAGTAACTATAAAAGAAATAATAATGTTGACCTGATCAAAATTAAATACCTCATCAAAAGACGCCATTAAGAAAATGAATAGGCAAGAAAATATTTACAACACATATATCTGACATGACTTGTATAAATAAAAAAACTCTCACAACTCAGTAACAAGATAACCTGGCCAAAAAAGTTTGGTCAGGCACTTAATAAGTGGAAATTTTAAAATGACCAATAAACTGATAAAAAGGTGCTCACTGTTATTAGTGGTCAGGGAAATGCAAATTGCAGCCATACTGATGTTCCACTGCACGTACCCATTAGCATCCATGAGTCCAGGGCTGACCCCGCCAAGTGCTGGGGAAGATGTGGAGCAACTGGGGCTCCCGTACACGGCTGCTGGGATGGAAAGTGGTACCAACACTTTGGAAGTCGGTCTAACAGTTTCTCATAAAGTTAAACATTTGTCTACCCTAAGACCCAGCAATTCCTCTCCTAGGTCTTTGCCTAAGAAAAAGCAAAACATACGTTCACCCAGACTTGTACAAGGATGACAGCTTTAGCCATAATGGCCAAAAACTAGAAATGACCCAAATGTGAACGTTTAGCAACAGAATGGGTAAACAAAGTGTGGTATATTCACAGAATAGAATTCTACTCAGCAGGAATGAACTATTGATACATGCGACAACCTGTATGAACCTCAGCCACGTTATGTTGGGCAAAAGAAGCCCAACTGAAGTGGTACGTATGATATGATTCCGTTTTTATGGAATTTTAGAACAGACAAAACGGATCTATGGTGAAAGAAAACACAACAGTGCTTGCCTCTGAGAGTGGTGCAGGAATGACCGGGAGACATCACAAGGGATTTTTCTGGAGTGATAGAAATGTTCTACGTCTTGATACAGATGTGGGTCACACGGTGTCTGCATTCTCAGTTCATCCATCTGTGTCCTGGAGATCTGGGCACTTCACCACTGCCTTTAAAGATTACGGCTCAATTTTTTAGAGAAAGTAGTTTATACAAATTTACTGGAACTCCTCAGGCTGATCTCTTCTTACAGTTTAGGAATAGTTTAGCCCAACTTTATTTTCTTAAGAGCTGAAAACATTGGGGTGTCTAACCCAGTGTTAGGTTGAAAAGGAAGGGGCTGAAAGGAAAGGTTCCTGGAAAAAAAGTTATATCTAAACTGAGACCGGAAGGGCAATTGGTTAGCTGTGTACCGAAGCGTGAAGGAGCACCCAAGAGGAGACAAAAAGCGTGTGAGAAGACCCAAAGGCAAGACAGTGCAGCTGAAGTGTCATTACAGAGGAAAAGGGAGGCTGGGCTGAGCCTGGGGCCGTGTTTCCACCCCTTGGGGTGCTGATACCTCCCTGCTTCATCCTCAGGACAGTTGGGAGAACTCAAATGCAAAAACAAATCATTTTTACATGAAAACCCTTTATAAACATGCAGCATTAAACATACAAAATCATATCTATGGTGGTGGCTTAATTCTAACAAGTATGACAAAGACTGATGAAATATTTGGACTGGTAGGGATATTTGTAGAGTTTAAAAGTTGTTTGCAGACATAGCATTTCCCTTGGTCTGATTTTTGGTGACACAGTTTTGACTTATTTTTTTCTTGGTTTCAGGGTTCCAAAAGAATTCTTCGCTCCAACGAAATCATCCTTCCAGCTAGTGGCCTGGTGGAAACAGAGCTCCAGTTGACCTTCTCCCTTCAGGTGAGAGTCTCCTCAGTCTCAGGTGGCTCAGATGCCATAGCCCAGTGAACTAAAGTCACCCGGTGAATTCAGCCCAGTGAATTAGCCATAGCAGGAATAAAGTAAAGTCACCCACAGCTTTGATGCCCAGCCTGGAGGGCCAGAGCAATCACACAGCAAGCCACAGTCAGGAGGCTGAGACCCAGGTAGGATGCTGAAAAGTGCATCACTTCTCATTCTTCTTTCCCATTTCCTTTGATAAGGCTGTTGGCCCCACCCGTCCTACCACGCTCAGCCCCGTCACCTCTCTTTAGGAATGCACAGCACACACTCCAGCAGAGTGCGCCCCTTCAGTCTCATTTTGCCCCCCTATTGTGATCTCCATCCCTTCCCTTCTCCTCCTTATCCTTCTAGTATGTCTGTCTCTCATCATAATCCCAGAAGCCCAAATTGAAGCACATGGAGGAAACACTAGATCACATGGCAAGGAAAGAGGCAGCTTTCTGAACGTGTGTGGACCACAGAGCTGGAGAGTGGAAGCCAAGCACCGAGCCGAATCACACCCTCAGCAGCAACTTAAGGATATTCCCTTCACCCCCTGAGCACCTCCTTGAATAGACAGGAGACAGTGAAGACAGAAAGATTGTGCATTCTCTAGCGGGACTAGAGCCCACCAATGGACCCAGTTGCTTATTGACCACGCTTGACTCTGTTTTATGCTCGGCAGTACCCTCATTTCCTGAAGAGAGATGCCAACAAGCTGCAGATCATGTTGCAAAGGAGAAAGCGTTACAAGAACCGGACCATCTTGGGCTACAAGACCCTGGCCGTGGGCCTCATCAACATGGCAGAGGTGAGAGGAGCGCAGTCTCCAGCCTTTAAGTCAGAGAGCCTGAGAGAGTTGAACCCAGCAAACGATTTTCCCAGCCTGCTGGCTGTCTGTTTTATTTTATTTTACAAGTTCATTCTTTTATTGGAAATTTAGGGTATACCTCTTTTTATCAAGTACTTTCTCCCTCACAAAAAGTTTTTCTTTAATTTTTAAAAAATTTTCAAACTTAGGGAAAAGTTGTCAGAATAGTATGAAGAGTCCCCATATGCCTCCACCCAGATTCTTCGGTGTTAATGTGTTACCGCACTTGCCTTCTCTGTCTCTAGATTTCATGCATATTATTTTCTTTTCTGAACCATTGAGAGTAAGTTGCAGACATGATGCCCCATTACACATTAATACTACACTATGTTAATTTCCTAAATAAGAATACTCTCCAGGGCTGGCCCTGTGGCCAAGTGGTTAAGTTCACGTGCTCCGCTTCGGTGCCCAGGGTTTTGCTGGTTCAGATCCTGGGTGCAGACATGGCACCGCTCATCCAGCCATGTGCAGTCAGCATCCCACATGCCACAACCAGAGGCGCTCACAGCTAGAATATACAACTGTGTACAGGGGTGGGGGTGGGGGGTGCTTTGGGGAGAAGAAGAAGAAAAAAAAAACAGATTGGCAACAGATGTTAGCTCAGGTGCCAATCTTTAAAAAAAAGAAAGAAAAGAAACCTTCTGTCCGTAATTTAAAAAAAAAAAAAGAATACTCTCCTATGTAAGCACCATGCCACCAAAAGATCAGAACGTTAACATTGCTGTAAGATTACCATCTGACCTCAGTCACCATTCAGACTGTGCCAAGTGTCGAGTGTCTCCATGATGTCTTTACAGGCCCACGATTGAATCTGGGATTACGTCTTGCATTTAGTTGTCATATCTCTTTAGTCTCCTTCAATCTGCAACAGTCCCTCAGATTTTCCTTGTCTTTCATGCTCTTGACTTTTTTTTTTTTTTTTTTTTTGCTGAGGAAGATTCACCCTGAGTTAACATCTGTTGCCAGTCTTCCTCTTTTTGCTTGAAGAAGATCTGCCCTGAGCTAACATCCATGCCAGTCTTCTTCTATTTTGTCTGTGGGTCGCCGCCACAGCATGGCCACCAACAAGTGCTCTATGTCCCTGCCCAGGAACCAAAGCTGGGCCACTGAAGCGGAATGCGCCAAACTTAACCACTAGGCCATGGGCGGGACCCCTTTGACATTTTTTAAGAGTACAGGTCTGTTACCACTTTATTGAATGTTCCTCAGTTTGGGTTTGTCCGATGTTTTCTGAAGATTAGATTCAGCTTATACATTTTTGGCAGAATTACCACAGAAGTAATACCATGTTCTTCTCAGTGCAACATAGGCAGCACTCCACGTTGATTTGTTTCATCGCTGGGTGAGGTTGACTTTCATTGCTTAGTTAAGGTGGTGTCTGCCAGGATTTCCAATAGAAAGTTAGTAAATATTTTGTACTTACCAATGAAAAAATATTTTATAGGAAAATGTTTTGAGACTATATAACAGTACTTTCCTCCTCCTATCTTCACCAACTAGTTTTAGCATCTGTGATTCTTGGGCTGAATCACTGATTGATGCTTGCCACACAGTGAGTTTCTTTTCCTTTCTTTTCTTTTCTTTATTTTAGTGAGGAAGATTGGCCCTGAACTAACATCTGTTGCCAATCTTCTGTTTTTTCCCCCCTCCTTGAAGCCCCACTACATAGTCGTTTTTCCTAGTTGTAAGTCATTGTAGTTCCTCTGTGTGGGACGCCGCCACAGCATGGCTTGATGAGCAGTGCCTTGTCTGCGCCCAGGATCCAAACTGGTGAGCCCCAGGCCACTGAAGAGGAGAACACAAACTTAACCACTTGGCCACTGCGCTGGCCCCGTCCACAGTGAATTTCTAATCTCACCATTCCTTCTATATTTGTTAGTTGGCTTTTGGTTGTAAGACAGAGCTCTCCCTTCTTCCCTACTTACTAATTGATTCATTTATTTGTATCAGTTATGGACCTATGGATTCCTGTTTAATTCAGTGGGGTTTAATCTGTTACTGTCATTTTTTTGGCTTGATGTTCAAATTATCTCAAATTTGGCCAGTGGGAGCCCCTTCAAACTGGTTCCTATATCCTTTTTGATATGTCCTATCACTCTTTACATACTTCTTTACTTTCTGGTACAAAATATTACAGGCTCATCTTGTATTTCCCCTGACGCAGCCTTGGAATGAACTGGTTCTCTTAAGAGCCCTGGTTCGTTTTAGTGGAGAATGGTATTTAGAAACCAAGATGTGGGTACTAGGAGTGCTCACTCTCCAACTGGGGTCTCATTGCTTCTACTCCCTCTCAGCTGACAGAGCTAGGAAACGTACGTGTGTGTGTGTATATATGTGTGTGTGCATATGCACTCATATATACATACACATCATATCTGTTTCCATATCTATATCTATCTGATCATGAGCTCACATCCAGTCAATTCCAATCCAGCACCATTGGGCTTATTCTAGCCTTCCCCTTTCCATATTTCTAATTCCCTTCTCCATCAGTTAGAAACCAGGCTCCCATTATCCTCAGTGCGTTTGCTCATTTGTGCACTTCCCATATATGTCAGGCAAATCCTCTCAGTCCTGACAAAGGGGAAAAAGAAAGGGGCCACAAGTCAGTTTCAAAACTCATTTCTGTGCTTTAGTACATTAAATAGGGGAAATTTTGTGGCCATACGTGAGATAGTCCCAGCCCATCCTCCTCTCGTCTTCTGGTTTTGTATCAGTGTGAGGGACTGGCGGGAGTGAAGTAGTGCGGATGCCGCGTTTTGCCAGCTGTGTCAAGCCCTTCTGCTTTCTCATGCACTGTAGGTCCTTTTCCTCATTGCCAGGCACACAGGTGACCACCATCCGCAGGCCGGCCCCACCTAGCCTGGCAAACTAGTTTCTCTGTGAAGGCCTTAAACTAAAATGGAGTCCTAGAGATTAGCAGTCGTTTTCAATCTCAGGCCTTGATTTTCGTCTTTAAACGCGTGGCCTGACTCGTGGCCGGCACTTCTGGAGACAGTTTCACAGTAAGACCTTGGAGGCGATAGAACAGTCGGCATGGATTTGGAAGGTCATGAGAAAGAAAATGCATTAGCAGAATGCCCTTTCCACTGGCATGCATATCTCTTTGGGTTTATGAAAATGGACAACTCAGTGGATCTCTCCGTAGTAAGGCGTTTCCACTGCCGCTCTGTCATCCTAGGTGATGCAGCATCCTAACGAGGGCGCTCTGGTGCTCGGCCTGCACAGCAACGTGAAGGATGTCTCTGTGCCTGTGGCAGAAATAAAGATCTACTCCCTCTCCAGCCAGCCCATTGACCATGAAGGAATCAAATCCAAGCTGTCTGGTAAGATGAATGCAGAGGCCCTGCAGGTCAAGAGGGAGCTCGTCACCTGATCTCCATCCTGGCGGAGCTGAACCAGGCAATGCCTAAAATCTTCCTAGGAAAGAGAAGTTAGAGATCCCTGAAAACGAAACATAGCCTGCCATGGCCCGGGCCCTCTCCTCTGCTCCAGCCGTGTTTCGCCCGAGCAGAGCCATGATTCCAGCCGATCAAAGTCTCTTAGGCCAGATCTTCCCATTTTGAAGTTATCTTACTAAGGTGTCTGTTTCCAGATCGTTCTCCTGATATTGACAATTATTCTGAGGAAGAGGAGGAGAGTTTCTCATCAGAACAGGAAGGCAGTGATGATCCATTGCACGGGCAGGTAACTTCCCACAGCCCCTCACAGGAAGTGTCTGAGAAGGAATTCAAGACCTTCCGGGGGTTTCCCAACCTCGTTCTCTCCCCCCTCCCACTTAGGACCTGTTCTATGAAGATGAGGATCTACGCAAAGTAAAGAAGACCCGGAGGAAACTCACCTCCACCTCTGCCATCACCAGGGTGAGCCACAGAGGTCTGGGGACTGTTTAGCTGAGAATTTCCATTTGGGGGTAGGATGGAAGCTTTTTAAATTCTGCACGTGGCCGCCCTCAAGGTTCTGATAACACCCCTGTGTATGTCCGCCACCACCTAATTGAGAATCACTGTCACAGAGAACCAGTGTCACCGATAGGGCTGTGTTATATTCTTCAGGTTATCTCAGGATAGAAGAAAGGTTGAAAAACCTTGTTTTAGCCTTCGGAACAGATAATGCTTCCTCAGGGAACAGAACACCTCAGACACCCTACCTTCCCTCTCCAGGTGCTTACTTCAGATGACGTGCTATCCACTGCGTAGATAAATCTGGTCCTCTCTTGGCATATTACCATTTTTAATCATTTGTTGAATTTACCCAGAAATAATAGGCTAGTACTTGGAACTGTGGGTTTGCTAAGGTTTAATTACATTAGATATAGTTCCTGCCTGAATGGATCCATAACCTTAGAGACCAAATGCCTTTGGATTGTGTCCCCTGCATAAGATTTCCTCAAGAGTCACTATTTTTGGTGAAATTAGAGTTCTGGACTGAGACACTTAGTACCTGAATTTTTGGGGTAATTTTGAATGATTTTGGAGTTCCTGTGCCAAAGTGTGGGAGAGTCAAAAGTGCTAGGAGCTTTTTGGAAGAGAAATTCACGGCTTCGTTTTTCCCTGGAGACATCCTGATACTCTCTAGTGCAGGGCTAGCCTCGGGACCCCAAGAGCAGAGAGTCCCGTCACCATCAGGAGGGAAAGAAATGTAGGCCAGACCTTCCGATGAGTCGTATCTGAGCCTGGCATTCTCCCATGAAACAATGCTGTCATCTCCCCAATCATCCTTAGGGATCACGGGGCTTCAATGTAAATCCTCAAGACTCTGGCCTTGATTTCCCCCATTGAATAATGACCAGAGAGCATGAGAACTGTTTCATTGTCCTGAGGTATCTAATCCTTGACAGGCTCTCCAAAATAGCCAGGTAAGGCGTGTCACCAGAGCCCCAAATGCCTCACCACCATTGTGCTCTGGTCAGGGGGGTAGGCTGGATGACCACCCTCTGTTGTAGCTCCTTCTACTAAGTTTTTCTTTTTCCTGCTCTGTAACCACAGAGAGGCCCCACCTTCTTCCCATAGTGTGTCCCCTGGAGCTTTGTGAATCACCCCTTCCTGTCATCTCCCCCACAGCTTCACTCAGTTATATGACCAGAGTTCGGAGCTTCTATTAATATCCACTCCCCTGAAGACTTTTTTTATTAGCTGCAGACACTTTGCAGTCAGATTTCCAGAGACTCAGTAATTGTTCCTTAATTTCTGTCTCCTTTTGTACACATGCATTCTTCTCCCCCAATCAAGAACACTTTGTTCTAGATACACTCATTGACGTGCTGGTCTCTGAGTACATCTTATGCTTCTCTGTCACTGTGAGCTCACGTGTTTTTTCTCTGCTCTGAATGCCCTTTCCACCTTTGGAAGCCCTGCCCTTTCTTGAAGGCCTGGCTCCGTCTTACTTGCAAGTTAGCCTCTTCCATCCCCAGATGGCGAGTCTGTCATTCAGTCAGGAAGTACTTGGGCCGCAAGCTAGTCACTGTGCCTGGAGTTGGAGACATGGAGCTAGGAAGGGCCCAGTCCATGCTGTCAAGGAGCTCACAGTGTCTAGTGACACAGACATGTCTAAACAAGTGACTACAACGCAGTAGGATAGGTGCTAGAAGACGGAGCTTTGTGTAAGGGACAGCAGTGGCACTAGGGGAAAGTGACTGACTCTGAGCAGGAACCCCAGGAGTGCTTCACGGACGAGATGCTAAGAGATGGGTTTCTAAGGACAAACAGAACTTCACCAAGTGGATGCGAGGGGAATGTTTAGTCAAGGCAGAAGATACCGTGTCTAAAGGCCCAGAGGTGCACTGCAGCATGTGGCGTTTCACAGAACTGTAGCAGTTAGTTTCCGTTTGAGTATGGGGTGTGGGGGTTGAATGGTGAGATGAGGCTAGAGACAGGCAGACCCAGCCGTCAGACAGCCGTAGAGTTGACACTTAAGCTTTGTTCTCCAGGCACTGACGGCCGACATGAGTGGGGAGTGACATGATGAGATTTGCATTTGGAGTGATCACTGTGGACTCTGGAGCGAACAAGACTGGAAACTGACTGGGAGTGGGAAAGTGGGGGTGTCCGTGGTCCCAGAGGGATGTGAGGAGAAAGGCCTGGACGAAAGCAGTGGTGTTACAGGTGGAAAAGAGGGTAGGAGTTATCGAACACTGGGCTCTGGGGAGAAGGGAGGGGAGAGACTCCAGGTTCAGACCCGGGTGACTGGAGTGGTGATATCAGTAACCAGATAGGGAATACAAGGAGAAGATGACAAGTTCCGTTTTGGAAATGTTGAGTTTGAGGTCACTGTATACATACAGGTGGAAGTCACCCGTCTGCACCATGGATCTGGAGGACTAGAGACAGGGGTGAGCTGCAGATGCACATTTGGGCGTTAGCAGGACGTGGTGGTGGAGGGCCCAGGAGTTGATGAGCCCTCCTCCTTCCATCTACGCCCACAGCACTGGGAGCTGCCCCAGGATGAGGCACGCACGGGCCTGCTACCCTGATAGTGTGACGTGCCAGAGGGTGGACACCGCCTTCCCGTCGTTGTGTCCTCCCACGGTTCTTTACAAAAGTGGGCTCTCAATCACTCTCTGTTGACTTGACTTGATCACGTCCACGAGTGGGTGTTGTTTGAGAACTATTGTTCACTTTCTCCCTACAGCAACCGAACATCAAACAGAAGTTCGTGGCCCTCCTGAAGCGGTTTAAAGTTTCAGATGAGGTATGGCCCTTACTCCCAAGGTCGATGGTGAGTAGAGTTCCTGGAATTTCACCCTCGTTCCTGGGGTGCACTCTACGTTGCCCCTGGGAGTCAAGATTCTGGGACCCACCAAGTGAGAAGGCAGCAAAGAAGGGATTTAAACTACTTGAAAAGAGAAAGAAAGGCTTTACACGTGGCACCCAAGGTTTCATGGGATTCAGAGTAGGGGTAGCATGGTTATAGCAGCCATCGTTAATATAAGCCTCTGGGATGGGGTATCAGAAACAAATCCAGTTCTCCTTGTTTAATTTTCCCTCCTATCCCCAGGGGAACATTGTGAGCAATAGCCTGTGAGGTGGGAGGGTCCTCAGTGGTCAGCCCTTGAGACACCAAGAACCGGCTGTTCGTGGAGGAGCAGTCTCCTCCTGGGCTCTGGCAGGCCTGGTGCCAGCTTTCACAGGCTTCTCTCTCACTGGACTGAAAAAGGGAGGGAGATGGAAATTGTCGAGAGAGATTTCTCTGTCCCTCTGTGGGCTGTAGAGGAAGGTAGGACCAGCCTGCACAGGGGCATGCCTCCCGGGTCTTCTGTGCCCGCTCTCTGGGAGAAGTGTGTTAGCTGTGCTTCCACATTTCTTCCTGATGCCAGGTCCGTAGTGTGGAGTGTTAGGAAGGTACTGAGAGGGAAGGTGGCCTCACCGCACCCCTGCTCTCAGGATTGGATCACAGCAAGGACATCAAGGTCAGCCTGATGAGTGTAGAGCTATGGCTTGTCCGTTAAGGGGGACTGGTACGGGAGGCCAGTTGGTCCCCGTCCAGGAGGAAGAAGTTGCACGTCTGCCATAACTGTTAATAGAGGTAACCCCAAACTCAAAGATTTTTTCCCCCACAGGTTGGCTTTGGGCTGGAACATGTGTCCCGGGAGCAGATACGAGAGGTGGAAGAGGACTTGGATGAACTGTATGATAGTCTGGAGATGTACAATCCCAGCGACAGTGGCCCTGAAATGGAGGAGACAGAGAGCATCCTTAGCACTCCGAAGCCCAAGCTCAAGTGAGTCCCACACCTGCTCTGTCAAGCGTCTCCCCGCACCTCTCCTCGCTAGGCCTGGCCGTCTCCTAGCCCCCTCCCTCACGTCCCCTCCCTCGCCAGGGCATCTTGGTTCTTCATCCTCGTTGAGCCTCCAGCTGTCCGCATAAAAATCATTGTTTTTGCCTCTTGCTGACAAAAGTCCTGAGAGGACTCTGCTGAAGTCCTTCGGCACAGGCCCCTACTTGTCCAGCCTCTGCTGTGTCCTTCCTCACCGGGCATCCTTGAAGCCCAGGTCGTTGATCTTTCTGGAACACCAGCTCCACCCAGCTCTCCGTGAGCTGCTGTTCTGGGCCTGGGCGGGCACTGACCCTGGCTGTGCTTCTCCACCGCAGGCCCTTCTTTGAGGGGATGTCGCAGTCCAGCTCACAGACAGAGATTGGCAGCCTCAACAGCAAGGGCAGCCTCGGCAAAGACACCACCAGCCCTGTGAGCAAGACCAATGGCTATGGGGGCGGGGAGAGGGGCCAGGGGAGTGTGGGGCCTAACACTCTGGGCCCTCTGCTCTTGGCTCACTGGGGACCTCAGAAGAGTGGTCTCATCTTGTTTCAATCTGGTTGTCCTCATCTCAGTCCTACCTGGGAGCTTCGTTCTCTGAGGGCGTTGCTGTGGCTGCTCGGGTGTTATTTTTGACCTGTTCCCGCACGGCCTGTAGCCTTCCATCCCAGAACACTTGGTGCCTCAAAACCTCTCCCTCAGTGTCCGTTGCATGGTAGCGGGGAGGGTGGTATCTGGATAAGCAATTGCGCGTTTCAGGCTGGGGACAGAACAGGTGTAAAGGGGCAGGAAGCCCACAAGTTCTGTTCAGGAGGCAGTACGTAGGCTTCATTCATAGAGTGCCCTCAGAGAATTTAGTGAGCAGGTTCCCACTTTGCCTGGTGAGCAAGAGGAAGAAGGAGCTGTGTACCGTGGCCCCCCGAGAGCCCAGCATCACCCCTGCATCATGCTCTGACCGTACTTGGGCAGGCTGTCTCCCGGCAGTGGGTCAGAGTGGGAGCCCGACTGATGCTGTGCCTGCCTCAGGCCCTGGGGAGCTGTTCTTCCCCTCATTTACCACTAAAGGCACGAAGACAGTGGGCGTGATTTCAGTGCAGTTCATGGTTTGCTCTTGAAAGCACAATGTCTTTTCTGTAGATCAAAGAAACTGAATCCTTTCAGTCCTCCCGTTCTTGCCACTTTAACAGAGGGAGTACAAAACTCTCCCACCAAGTAGGTACTAATTGTGGGGAAATTATATGAAGCGAGTGAGGCACTCTGTCCGCTGAAAAGAGCTGTTGTCTGTGGAACCGCTGCCACCTGCCCCAAGTGTCTGCAAACCCTCGGGCAGCTCAGGGGCTGCCTTACTGCCTGCTGCCACCAGGTGGGGCTGTTTCCCACCTAATCCCTCTTCCTGGTTAAGGCGCAGTTGGCAGTCCAGCCCTAGAAGGGAGGCAGACACGGCATTAGTGAGGAAATGTGGAAGGGAAAACTGCAGCCCGCACCAGGAGTCCCTCCACAGAGAAACCTCAGGCTGCTCTTGCAGACGCTGCACTCACAGCAACTTTCCCCCAGGTTCAGGGGATCCGGAGCCAAGGAGGCCTCATTTTACTATTCTGTTTAGGATGTGGCTCGTAGCTGCTCTTTCTCACGGGGCTGCCAAATGGCCCTGCTAAATCGCCACTGTCCACGTGGACAGATCGTTGGCCACTGGAGCCCAATTCCATCTTAAATATAAATGTAAGGGATGATGGGACCTGGCCGAGGGAGGACTGTCTCCCAGTGTCCCAGGAGTGCAGTACAAGGGCTCTACTGTAACAAAATGCAGCTAAATTATTAACTGAGGTAATGCCCCAAAAGCACGAGCCCTAACACCTAACAAGGTGAATGCTCAATGCTAGGGATTGTTGTTATTAAATCGATAAGAGGTACTGTTTTATACTAATGAAGGTGTTTCTGAGTTGATAGAATTTGTCTGTCGGTTCTACTTTAGTCTCAGTTATATGGCTTACAAAATTTAGAGAGAAAAATCCCCTTAATGCTCTGAGCCTCAGGTGTCCTGTTTGTAACATAAAGGTACTGGCATAGAAGCCCAGTGAGCTCAAAAGTCAGTTGAGTATTAATCTTTATAATACGATGGCCTAAGGGTCCCTGTTTAGGCAGAACATTTGTTTGGGGTAGGGTAGGGCTGGGCTGAGAGCACGTGCTCTGGAGTCAGACTTCTGAGGATGACTCTTGACTCCACTCCACTGACTGTGTGGTCTGAGGCAGTTACCAGGCCGCCGTCTCCTCCTCCACAAAGCACGTGCCTTACAAGGCAGTGTGGCATTCCGCCGAGAGAATGCAGGTAAACCTCTAGCTTGGTGCTTGCCTGACGGGTGGCTTGAGTTACTGCACGGGGAGGCTGCAGTAAATGTACACGCTGTTACTGTTATTATCTTCCCTTACAGCCATTTCCGTTCCGGACTCCCAAAATTGGTAGAATCTGGATGTCTTTTTAGAGTCCTTCAAATAATGGTTTCCTTGGCCAGATTTCAGACTCGCTTTGCTGCTTCTCTGTGATATTTCTATTTTGAAGAGCCCCATATGTCTTGCTGTGGGTGTGGAGCTTTGGAATCCTTTAGTATGAAAGGTACTTTGAGAACTGCACAGCGAGGCTGTGCTCTTACACCGAGAACTTCTGCATGTATTAGGGAAAGATGCCGAGACCATGCAGATGGAGGCAGGCGAGCACGCCCTGCCTGGTTCTTGTCCTCTCTTCCCTGATTTCCAAGCATTGTTATTTATTTTTCTTAATCATCCTTTTTTTCCCCCAAGTTTCAAGAGGATTGATCACTAAAAGCAAAAGGAATTTCTGCTGATACAAATTATTAGAGTTATTGCATTTTTCCCAAGACTTGGGCACACAGTAGCGACATAATTTATTTCTGCAAGCTGATGACAATAGGCGCTGACAGTGCTTCAGTCCGGGTGGCCAAGAGCTGTTGACTTTCAGCCAAGACTACCTGCTGCTAGAAGTCGCCATTTCCATGGCACTGAAAATGTGGCGTTAGAGACCAGTACTTGACAAGAATCAGAGCCTAAAATGTTAGCCCACTCTGCCCTTCCTCCCCCCCCCCCCCCACACACACACAGAGGCGTGTGCGCTCTGCAGAGCCAGCATCGCCCCACAGCACGGTGCTTCAGCCTGCGGGCATCTGCCTCCAGGCCACACAATTAGGCAGACTCAGCTACTGCGCTGCCGGTGTTCCAGGGTCCTGGGGTGAGGAAAGCCCTCAGTATTTACAGGAGCAGGAATAGGAACTTGGAGAATCAGGAGTCTGCTGGGATCAACTGGAACATCTAGATGAGTCAGCGAGTAGCTGGCAGGTGCCCTCCAACCCCAGTGCAAGCTGCAGGTCTTATCAGATCTTGCAACTTTGCCATGGAAACAATGCTGTGGCTGTCATAGGGCTTGACAACAGGGCATGCTACTTGCAAACCTTCTAACAGAAGGGCCGTATTGCCCCAATTCATTCTCTTTAAAACATGTTTAATTCATTTGTCATACTGAGATCCGAAATTGAGCGAAATCATCTTCAGCCTTATGTCTGACCAGGACTTCTCCATGATTGTAGACCCTGTTAACATTGGTTATTCATATAGACAATGTGTAAATGAACTAGCTGTGCAATCTGGAGGCAACCTATCGTGTATGGCTCTGAGCCAGAGCATCTCAAGATCTGGAGCCACAAGGTCGGGTTCAAGGACGTTGGGTTAGTCTTGCATGACTTAGAGCAGTGGTCCTCAGCCAGGGATGACTTTTGCCTCCTGAGGAGCATTTGGCAATGACTGGAGACATTTTTGGTTGTCCCAAGTGGGGAGGGGTAAGGGGCTGCTACTGACATCTTAGTGGGTAGAAGCCAGAATGCTGCTGAACATCCTGCACTGCACAGGACAACCCCCCGCAGTAGAGAGGGATGTGGCACAAAGTGTCAGTAGTGCTGAGATGGAGAAACCCTGGTTCAGAGTACAACACGGGCCTGCTCTTGTGAGCCTTGTTCATTAGTTTGCCAAGTGACCCCTTGAGCTTATTATTATTAGCCTGATATTTCCCAGTCCTATATAATTTACTCAGAGAGAGGACTTTGAGTAATTGGGAGGAAGTGGGACATCCTTGACCTTTTCTGACTCCCTGGTTCCGCGTAAGAACTAAAGAGATTCACTGAGGCCAATACCTTCCCTTTGTCTGAGACCCACAACCCTCAATTGCTCATGACTTTGACAGTGGCGCCAGCACAGCCTGAAGCAATATTAGCAAATATGAAAAATCTGGTTGTGTATCTATACTTGCAAGGTACATGTTTAATATTTATGAGAAATACTAGTAAGAGATGTGGACAAAGGGAGAATTAATTCACACCTAAATGGCTTAACATTGGGTGTCTTTTTGCTTAGTATATTCTGTTTGAGGGTTTTCTAGATGTTTCTGCCAAGCAAAAAGCATTTGGCTAGCATGGATGTCTTTAGTCTCAAAATCAAAGACCTGAACTATAAGATCCTCCTTTCTTCTCAGCAACTTCTGACAAGCAGAAGAGGCTCCGAATGTCCCTCCTGGGCAGTGGTGTTTACCGAATCCAGGGTCAGGACTTTGTGGATCCCAGACAAAGCCATCTCTTTCCTAGGGACATCTTGTGAGAGTAAGAATTTCTGGGTTCCCCAACTCATGTGTTACTGATGTAATGATTACAAAAATACCTGACCCTTCTGAAGCTTAGTTTTCACAAAAATATACCCCTTATAAGATGAAAATCCCAAAGATTTGGTGAGGTCTTCAGATTAACTGAAAATATTTTAAGCTTCTTAGGGACCCAGAAAACAAGTTGGAGTGGTAGTTATTTGGATTGGTGATGACTAATTATTGTGATTTTTGCAGATGGAATTGGCTGCTCTAGAAAAAGTCAAATCTGCTTGGATTAAAAATCAAGATGACAGCTTGACTGAAACAGACACTCTGGTATGTATGGTTCAGCCTCCCGTTTCAGCATTTAAAGTAGTTTTTGCACCTTTAGAAATAAAGGCAAAAAGACCCTCAGGGCCACCCTGGAAATTTTGCCTAAGTCTGTGGACTTGTGAATGTCCTTCAGTCTCTTTCTCCTGAGATCCTTTCCCATGGAATGTAACCTACTCTGGAGACCAATTATTCCCCAAATTAGCAAACCGGAAGTGTCCTCATTCTGCCCTTTAATTAGACCTAGTCAAATGCTCATTTGGATAATTTCTCACTATCTGTTACCCTCATTTACTTCTGAGAGACGACGACCAGTATCTTCATCTGAAAAACCCTCCCTTCCTCCAGTGGTGTTCTTCCAATGGCCAGGCAGCCCACAACATTAGAGCTCCACGTGATTGCTGGTCACCTCCTTTCTCTGAGAGATGTTGGAGCTGCCCAGGAGTGCAGGCCAAGCCCTAGTGAAATTGAATGAATTGGCTGGGGTGCCCAATTTAATTAAAAATTGAATTCCACACACATTTACTATGCAACTACACGTGCTGAGCACTGAAGGTGCCAAGATGAGAATACCATGGTCTCTGCCATCAAGACGCCACCCTCTAGGGGGAAAGCCAGCCTGTGCTCACCTGGTGCAGAGGCTTTCTGGAGGCCCAGGGAAGGACAGAGGGATTCCGGCTGCCGAGGGAGGGCATCGGAGCTGGGTTTTGCAGGGTGTGCCAGAGTTCATCCAGTGGGACTAGAGGCTGGGCACAGCAGGTTGGGGGGAGCAGAGAACTTCACCTAAGACCATCGGGGGGTGTGCTGTGCCTCAGCCTCGCAGAGAGTTCAAGGAAGAATTATTCTAAGCTTAGATTTCCTATAGTAAATAATGCAGCACTAAAGAGCTGGTGTATGACAAATCATTAGACCTGACTCGAGATTAATTTAGTTCATAGAAATCTGAATAGCCAGCTTCCACTCTTGCCTCACTTTGGTCCGTACTGCACAGTGGTCATTTCAAAGTGAAATTCCAGTCATGCTGCTTCCTGAGTAAAACTCGCTCCTTCTCACCTGGAGAAGCTGGATCATCGGTCCAGGTTTGCATGTCTACAGATAGCTCGTAAATGTGGAGGACAGACCGAGTAACAGGAGGCAGCGCCCAGCACAGTGGGTGCACGCAGTTGAATCAATCAGTAACAGTGTCCTCTTCGGGCGCGGTAGGAGTTTTAGAGCCACGTGCTTCCAGGAAGAGAGACCTATTGATTTGCTCTCTTCTCGTGACGGTGATGGGCCCTGGCAGGACTCCACGAGGCTTCTGGGTGGTCACTGAGTGAGAAGTTACCCTCGGTGCTTCCTTTCCCCGTGGCAGGAAATCACTGACCAGGACATGTTTGGAGACGTGAGCACAAGTCTGGTTGTGCCAGAGAAAGTCAAAACCCCCATGAAGTCCAGCAAAACGGATGTCCACGGCTCTGCCTCTCCCAGGTACTCGAGATTGGAAGGAGCTCCTAGAACGTGGGGTAGAACTGAGGAAGCCGAGCTGATGGTACGAGGCTGCAACCACACTTAGCATAGGCTTGCGGCCTAGGGAGGAGCAGGCTGGCAGTGGCTCCAGGCTGGAGGGCCTGTGTAACCACCTCCTTCCCACATCTCTGGCAGCAAAGTGGACGGGGTGCACACCCCGCGGCAGAAGAGGAGCACCCCCCTGAAGGAGCGGCAGCTCTCCAAGCCCCTGAGCGAGAGGACCAACAGCTCCGACAGCGAGCGGTCCCCCGACCTGGGCCACAGCACACAGGTACACTGTCCCCACTCGAGGCCAGGAGCCTCTGTGCCTCCCTGGACCGTGGTTTCCGTTTTGTCATCTTCCTTGTTAGTTAGATGGAGAGGAAAGAAAGAATACTTTGAAATGCTCTGAATCAAAGTCTTGAAGACAGACCTAAATCAGAGAAATCTCACGTACGTGTTGTTTGCTTCTAGTGTGTAACTGGCTTCAGTGTTGATTTGTGGGGAATGGGGAAGGGAGCAGAGATGCCAGCCAGCATTGTCCCAGCCCCAAGTGGCAATTCCACCCCTTCTGGTTTGTTCTGCCTCCCTCAGACGTTAGTCTGGAGATTGTGTGGGGAATCAGCTGTTCTAGAGGATGGCAGCCGTTAAAATCTCATCGGACGCCACCAGCCTGACCTCTGATACCTTTAGTACTGTGGTGGGCCGCTTACTGTCATTTCAGGCTGGCACATCAACAATATTAAAATATTTTGATCGAAAGACCCGAGAGTGGGCTGGAATAGACACGCAGAAGAAACTGGACTTGGGGAAGTGTGTTCTCCTTTTGAAGGCCAGCGGTTTCAGGGGCCTGGAGAAGGAACCTCTCTAAACTGACGTCCCTCACAGGATGACTATTCTTGTAGAGTTAACAGCAAGCCTCTTCCTTTACCTCATAAATATCATTGAGGGGAAGGTTTGTGTCAGTTTGTGTGGCTTCCTGAGTTTGACGCTATTACATAGCTGAACATAAACCAGAGACTAGAATATCCCAGTGCCTGGGGCGAGGTATTGTCCTTATTGTTAATCACTGTTTCTGAAAGGCCTTTTGTTCCCTGTGACAGGAGGGCTCCCCACACAGCGCTCATTGCCGGTCTCATTAGTTCTCTCCCCATTGCCCTCATTCTCATTTCTGTGAGCACCTGCTGGCCATTGTCCCCCTCCTCCTCTCCTGCTCCTTCCTGGCGGCTCTCCTGCTCTCCCTGCATCACTGCCCTTCGTGGGACGCGGCTGCGTCTCCAGCTCTGTCTGCCCTCGCTCTGCCAGGCCCACCGCTGTGGCTTTGTTCCTGGTGCCGGAAAGTGTTCTCTGAGGACCCTGCGTATTCTTTCTCCTCCTCCTTTCCATTCTGGTCTGGCCGGTGGGATACTGGGTCTCCTCCACAGAGGCCTAGGGTCCTTCTCCCTCAATGCTCTAGGAATTCTTTACCCTAGTCCACCTAGCCCTACCCTCAGGCTCCCGGGGGACTGCCTGACAGACACTTTTGTCCCTGCAGATTCCACGAAAGGTGGTATATGACCAACTGAATCAGATCCTGGTGTCAGATGCAGCCCTCCCAGAAAATGTCATCCTCGTAAACACCGCCGATTGGCAGGGCCAGGTAAAGCACTGAGGTGGCAGGGCTGGGGAGGAGAGGTTCTGGAGAGCAAGAGACCCCCTGGAGTGTGTGATCTGAAAGGAAGGGCATGGGAAGATAGGAAAAGGATCCCTGGGGCCGGCCCAGTGGCGCAGCGGTTAAGTTCGCACGTTCCGCTTTGGCGGCCCGGGGTTCCCCAATTCAGATCCTGGGTGTGGACATGGTACCCCTCGGCAAGCCATGCTGTGGTAGGCGTCCCACATATAAAGTAGAGGAAGATTGGGGCTGGCCCCGTGGCCGAGTGGTTAAGTTCGTGTGCTCCGCTGCAGGCGGCCCAGTGTTTCGTTGGTTCGAATCCTGGGCGCGGACATGGCACTGCTCATCAAACCACGCTGAGGCAGCGTCCCACATGCCACAACTAGAAGGACCCACAACGAAGACTACACAACTATGTACTGGGGGGCTTTGGGGAGAAAAAGGAAAAAGTAAAATCTAAAAAAAAAAAAAAAAAAAGTAGAGGAAGATAGGCACGGATGTTAGCTCAGGGCCAGCCTTCCTCAGCAAAAAGAGGAGGATTGGCAGCAGTTAGCTCAGGGCTAACCTTCCTGGGGAAAAAAAAAAAGGAAAAGGATCCCCGTATTTCAGGCCCCTCCTTCCCTAAACTGAGCTGATAGCTCTGGGCTCTGGTCCCAGTTCTTTCATCTCCCAGCATATAGGGCCTTAAGTCACTAACTCTGTACTAAATCTCTGTACCTCAGTTTCCTCATCTGTGAAAAAGCAACAATATTATCTATCCTGCCCTCCTTCCAGGGTGGTTCTATGTATCAGGTAGCATGATGGAAGGAAGGTGCCTTGAGAAGTACAAAATGCTGTCAGATGCCAGAGCTTGCCACTACTTTCCACAAAGGCAGTTCAGAAGGGGCAGAGCAAGCTGCCTGCTCCCACTCACCACTGTCGCCCGGTTAGATCCTGGTGCCAGAATCCCACTGCCCCAGTGGCCCCACCACCTGGAGGGTGGGCTACAGAGGTGACATTAGATCTAAAGATTCCTGAGCCTCAGGCTACATGGGGTCTCACTCCACCTTCTCCTCACTGGCAGCCAGAAACCTGACCTTTGCCCAGCTGTGGTCAAAAGGAGGAGGACAGGGCCCTGCAGCTTGGTCTGGGCCTTGCCTGGCCTCTTGGCACCTGTGGGGGAGCAGCGCCCCTGCTGTGGCCCTCACCTCTGTCCCTGCCCCTCTCCCTCCCTGCCCCCTAGTACGTGGCAGAGCTGCTCCAGGACCAGCGGAAGCCTGTCGTGTGCACCTGCTCCACTGTGGAGGTCCAGGCCGTGCTGTCCGCTCTGCTCACCCGTATCCAGCGCTAGTAAGGGCTTGGCTTCTCTCCCGCCCTTTGGGGTTCCCTCTGACCTCATCCTCCCACCCTGCCTTCCAAGCATCAACAGGACCTCCTGGCTTCATCAGACCGGGAATCCGTGGCCCGTGCTTGGTGCTCTGATGTCCCAGAGGATCAGGCATGAAAATATCACCTTCCTGCCCTCCCCGCCTCCCCACCGGGACTCTGCCACACCTGGCCTTGCCTCATCCTCTTCTTAAACTCATGGTGGAGAAGGCCAGGAGGGGAGAATCCAGGGTTTTACACGGACCTTTTACTCCCCTCCCTATGAGTGTACCACGCTGCTTGGCGTCCAGAGTCAGGGCCTTCCCTTCCCAGAAGGGCCCCGAGTCCCTGCCTGTGGGAAGGAGACATGCTCACACCCACTGCTGACCCAGGAGCTCTGCTGACTTGTCTCCCCGTTAGCCTCAGCCACTTCTAATTCTGTCTTCCTTCTAGACAATTACCTGCCCCCTCTGATCCTGGACTTCCCTCTTAATTGCAAAAACACTGGTTTATTGCCTCTGTATTATTTTGTTTATTGGTTTGTTTCTCCCCTGTGGGTTGTTGAGATCAAGTAAAGTCCGAGCTCAGGGCCCTCTGAGCAGGATGCTGGTGAACCTCCTGAATGTGGCGTGACTGTCCCCTTCTCCCCAGCTGCAACTGCAACTCCGCCATGCCGCGGCCGGTGAAGGTGGCAGCCGTAGGAGGCCAGAGCTACCTGAGCTCCATCCTCCGGTTCTTTGTCAAGTCGCTGGCCAGCAAGACCTCCGACTGGCTTGGCTACATGCGCTTTCTCATCATCCCCCTTGGTAAAGATGCGGCAGATCCCACTCCTGAAGCAAGATGGTGGCATTGGGTCCTAGGAAGGGATAGTCAGGGAGCCCAAAGGCCAGGGCCATCCTTCCATCCCAAACCAGCTCACCTTCTTTGGTTTTTGTCCAACAGGTTCCCACCCTGTAGCCAAATACTTGGGCTCAGTTGACAGTAGATATGGCAGTACCTTCCTTGACTCCAGCTGGAGAGATCTGTTCAGTCGCTCAGAGCCCCCAGTGTCAGGTAATGGCCCCTGTGAGGGATTGAGATACAATGTCGCCTGATTGGTGGAGAGCCAGCCTTGGCTGAAGGAGGGGGTCGGGGAGCATGCTGCTTTTCCTCCCTGTGGCTCGAACCCTCCCAGTCCCTTTGCATGTTCGTGTTTGCAGTGCAGCCCTTCCACCTTGGATGTTTTCAGTTCATACTATTTACTCCGCTCCTGTACATCTAGAAATACAGAGGGCTAAGAGCGGGCACATCTAGCTGCCAAGATCAAATATAAGAAGCAGAGAATAGTTCCTAGGCGGGCTGTTGATAAATGAATAACCCTGCACCGTGTCTCTCCCCGAGGTACGGAGTGAAGGCAGCCAGGAATAGAAAGGGCTTGAGCTCTGCAAGGCTGAGAGGTGCTACGTGCGTCAACAGACCTTGGAGGCAGTGAGGGGCAGAGGTGGGGGGGCTTCCTCTAGGTCACAGGAGGCCGGGGCGTGACGAGCCTGGGAAAGGCTTCGAGGGAGAGGATGGCGCCGTGGCTCATGATTCCTTAGATTCAAAACCAGCAGATCGTCGGAACCTTTCTCTGCCTCGGCTCCTAGTGTCTCCTGATGGGTCTCAAGAAGGGGGCGCTCTCAGAGGGTTTTTCAGTTTGCCTGCTGAAATAGCTCGGCCGTTCTCTCTTGGCTTCTCTGCAGAGCAACTGGACGTGGTGGGGCGGGTGATGCAGTATGTCAATGGGGCAGGCGTGACGCACCAGCTTCCTGTGGCTGAAGCCATGCTGACCTGCAGGCATAAGTTGTAAGTTTGACTTTGAGAGATTTCTTAAAAATAGGTTGGGTGGGCTAGATAAATCTTGAGTTTTCTTTGCTTTTTCACATTTTCCTTCTCCCCACCCCATTTCCCTGTGTAGGAACCAGACAGAATATGAGAGACAGTGTTTTTTACTGCCTCCCATCCTGGCCCTCCTTTCCTTGCCCTGGGCCTCCCCACCCGTATGGGCACCCCCTCAGTACAGAGAAGCCCACCCGAGGGACTGAAATTCCGACATGGGAGCAGGGAGTGTCATGTGCAGAATCAGGTCTTTTGCCTCCATTTGGTGGCTCCTTGTACCACCCTGAGATGTGATGGGAAGATGTCATGTAGTGTCTGGACTCCTTGAAGCCACAGTAAACTGTGAAAAGCTTATGTGCCCGCTCCCCACGCAGTCTCACCCGCTAACTCGAAGGCTTTCCTGTTTCCCCCAACAGCCCTGATGAAGACTCTTATCAGAAATTCATCCCCTTCATTGGCGTGAGTACTGACTCCCCTCCTCTATACCCCATTCTTCCTGTCCTCCCCCAGCACACACACAAATAAGACTCATCTAGACGGTAGCTCTCCTCCGGAGGCGATTTTGCCCCCAGGGGACATCTGGCAATGTCTGGAGACATTTTTGGTTGTCAATAACTGGGAGTGGAGATGCTACTGGCATGGAGTGGGTAGAGACCACGGATGCTGCTAAACATTGTGTGGTGCGCAGGACAGCCCCCACAACAGGGAACGGTGCGGCGCAGAACGACAGCAGTGCCGAGGTGGAGAAATGCTGGGCTAGGACGTGTTCTGAGCTGTTCCTCTCAGTGTCCTCCTTCCCCACATCACGAACCATCACTGGTATCTCGTACTTCCTACACCGGGCCCTGAACTGGGTGCTTCGGCCTAGGGAGTGGTGTCCAGAGCATAGCTTCTCCAGGCTTCAGGGAAGAGAAAGCTGCCTTGGAAATACTGACAGATGACATTCTGAAGAGAAGTCCGAGAACTAGGTGTTTCTGTCTTCAGCTCGGAGGGTCCTCTGAGAGAAAGGGCTTCTCCCTTCCCTCCTGTTTGCTCGAGGGGAGTCTCTAGATGAGTGGATTTTGAAAAGAAAGGGAAAACCTCCCGGACGTCTTTGGTGTCAGGTGGTACTGGCCTTTGTTTCATTTAGTGGTAGCTGGGCCACAAGGCAGAGACCGACCTGGAGAAGGAGCCTGGAGGGGACAGAGCTGACACCCTGCCGGGGCCAAAGCCCAGCACAGAGGCGTGACTGAAAACTCAGGTTTCCATTGAGGAGACTCGAATTTCCCTTCCCAATCAGCTCAGATCTTTTCCTACAGTCTCCTTGAGGATCCCTCCTAGCTTCTGAGGGGGAAGGGGCATGTGCAGGTGTGGGCCAGCCCCCTTCCGTCTCTGCTCTCTGCTTGTCCCAGATTCTGGATGTCTGGAGTCATCTTGGGAGATGACTGCGCCTGGGGAAATTCAGTAGTCTGTTCCCAGGCCCTGCAAAGCCTCCCGCCGGGCTGGGCCAGTCGGTCCCCGTTAGTCCCTCAGACCGCTCCCATAGCCATGTTGGAGGGCCTGGACTGTGGCCCATAGCCTGGGCCAGTGGTTTGACTCATGTCTTCGTGGAGCTGGGGGATCTTCAGGGAGCTGTGGGTCGCTGCCCGCTCTGGCCTGCAGCTGAGAGAGAGAGAGAAAAAAAAATTTTGAATTCAAACAAATAAACAAAGGAGCCTCATGCAGCACCAAGGGGAGAGGGGGAGTCATATCCAGGAAGTTCCAAGCGTCGATGTGTTACTTTCTGGGAACTAAAAGAAGGCTGCGTAGAGAATTTGAGACAAACTTTAATGAATGGCAGTGTCGTGCTCTGAGCAGCCTCGAAGGAATCGTGTGTGCGTGATCGCCACTCCATGCCAGTCCCCAGGGTCCAGCTTCCGTGACTCCCAGCTCTGCTGCACCTCTGCCAGGTGCTGGGACCCAGGCCTGCCAGTTCACAGGACTTCACCTGTCACTTCAAGCCACAGCCATGACATTCAAATAGTCTGTCTCTAGCTGTGCCCTTTGCTGGCCACTGGAGGGCCCCCTCTCCTTCCCAGAATTCTCTATGAGGGATCTAAAATTCTCTGGGGAGCTGAAATCAACACCACTGCCTCGGGGGTGGGTGCCTGGGACCCCCTCCTCACTGGTATTCCTCCAGAATCCGGGGGCTGGTCTGAGCACGTCAGCGCACTCGCTTAGTTTGGTGAGGCGGGCGTCGAGTGCCTCCCCGCGACACTGCCAGCTTCCTGGGCTGTCTCACAGGGGCTCTTCATTTCCCTCTCTGACACGAGAGGGTGGCCTCCCGCTCGTGTGATCCTAGAAGAGATGAGATCAGGATGCCAAAATGGTTCCTGCCCTCAAGGTGGCTTTGCCCTCATCCCCGGAGAAGAGCCGCAAGATCCCCTGTGGCCCCCTCGGTGTTTGGAACTGGGTTTTTTCACGTCTCTTAAAGATCTGGGCTGCTCTGGCTCTGCAAAGGTTTCAAAGCCTGTGATCAAACACTGTGTAGTAAGGGCTGTTGTGGTCGGCCATCTGCTTCCAGTCGGATCAGGTGTCCAGCTGGGTGAGAGGACTAAGGCTGTGTCTCTTCTCCCCTCCCAGGTGGTGAAGGTGGGTCTGGTCGAAGACTCTCCTTCCACTGCAGGTGAGCCCGGGGCCCTGTGCCTCTGTGAAGTGAGGGTGGTGCCTTCTGGCCTCCTCTCTGTCTGGCAGCCAGAAGGTGAAGGCCTTGGCGCCCTGGGTTAAGTCAGAGTTGAGCAGGAAGACGGGGCGCTCTCTCCCCCCAGTTGAAGCAGCAGCAGGGGTGAGGGGAAGAGTGGAAGGCCCGGAGGAGAGCAAGGCTGCAGCTGAGACGGGCTCCTTGACTCCTTGCCACCAACAGGTCAGGGGTGGCTTCCTCTGGCCGACTGTGTTTTCTCCACCGTGACAGGCGACGGAGACGACTCGCCTGTGGTCAGCCTTACCGTGCCCTCCACATCACCGCCCTCCAGCTCGGGCCTGAGCCGAGACGCTACGGCCACGCCTCCTTCCTCCCCGTCCATGAGCAGTGCCCTCGCCGTTGTGGGGTAAGGCTCCCCTGTGCCTGTCTTTGCTGCCATGCCCTCCATCGGAGCCCAGGACCCTAGGCTTCCCTGCCGCCGTGGCATTGTAGAATAGTGACAAGCACGCTGGGTTTAGAGAGGAGAATCGTGGTGAGAACAGTGGCCCTGGAATTCAGAGACTTAGGTCACTGGCCAGGCAAGTCATCGACCAGCTCTGTAAAATGGAGGATACTGTCTGCCTGCCCGTCTCACGGTTATAGGGTTGGACGAGACAAAGGGCAGAGAGCCCGCATAGCCTGTAAAGTGCTCTGCACGTATCTCGCTGGGGGACACATGGGAGTCGGACGCACCTGGGTTCGAGGTGTTGGTTCTGTGTTATGTCTGCTGTATGAGCCTGTGTGAAAGAACAAACTATCGAATGACGCCTCTTAAAGCATGGTAAAGGGAGACCGTTCAAGGTGGGCACTACCGCAACAGGGGCAGGGGCCACTGCGGTGGGCCTTCGCCGTCGGGGGAGCGATTGGGCCCAACTCCAAATACAGCGAGAGCAATGGGGATTTCTAGCCATGGCGCAGGGTCGGGGGCGGTGGATGGACATAGCTGAGACGAAACCTCAGGGCTCAGGGGATTCTGGCTAAACTGACCTGACAGGATTCCTGCCGAAGACAGGCCAGGGCCTCAGATGTCTCCTGTCTGACGGGGGTGGTGGGGCGAGGACCCCGTTCAGATATCCAGGGAGATCGGACATGAAGGGTGGGATTGTTGCTAACACTGGATTTTTCAAGGATGTGCACAGGTGAGAAGGTTCAGGAGCCTGACCGATGTTGGGTCAAGGATCTTTGTCCCTTGGGCAAGTTACTAAGCTTCCTTTCTGACGTCTGTGAAAGTGGAGGTGAAGTAGCCACGGCACAGTTTTGTCGTGAGGCGTGAGTGGGAGCAGGTGTGGCAGTGCCTGGCACACGGAGGTGTCGCCTGCTTTTGTGCCTTCAGTCTGTCCATCAGCGCGGCGGAGCTGTCGCGGGGAGTGAGACGGGCAGCGCGCTGTCCTGGGGCTCAGGCTCCTGGGCCTCGGCAGCGCTGCCGAAGCAGTGAAGAAATTCAGACTGTGTAGACGGCAGTAAGTGCTGTGAAAAACCAGGGGGTTTGAAGGGAGAGGGGATTTCTTTAGGATCTAAAATATCCAAAGTTTAGATCGAGTGGGCAGGGACGCCTCCCTGGGGAGGCAGCTCTCACGCTGAGGCCAGAGGCAGGCTGGAGCCGCCCCAAGGGAGGCTGGAGCCGCCTGCCCGCAGGGAATCCCAGGGGAGCAAGCTCGGGGGTGGGAAAGAGCAGGGCCTGTGTCAGGAAAAGGAGCTCCTGTGCCTCCTTCCTCCCCATTCCCCTTCTTCTGCCTTCGCCTCCTTCTCTTTCTGCTGTGATGGTCGTTGAGTAGCAGGGAAGGTAGGCGCTGGCTGGTGGCTTTTCCAGAACCATCACTGACAGTGTCCTGGTCCCTGAAGAAGATGAAGTATTCTCGGGTGGTGAGAGGCCTGCCTTGGAGCTCGAATTCCAACCCCATCCTCCCTTGCCCTCCCGTCTCCTGTCACTTCCCTTCGTGGTCTTCTGCTGACTTGCCGAAGGGACAGTGCCAGGAAGGGAGGAAATCCCACACAGCCAGTTATGCCCCAGTGGCCTCACAGTTCCAGGCTTCCCCGGGGACCTGGGGACCAGCCCTTTACCTCGACCTCCTTTCCTGTCCAGTTTAAGCTTGTTTTTAATGGAACTGCTGAAACCAGGCAGATAGAGAAACGTCAGATGACTTTGTAGCCTGTGTACCTATTGTGTCTGACACCTCCTTTCAAGAAAACATCAGCTCTTTTTCCCCTTGGAGCTAAAATTATCCCTGGGCTAGAAGTGCCATAAATAAGAGAAAGTCGCAGGTCAGCATCCATTGGCTCTCCTGGGGCGGCGCTGCTCTGGAGCTGCCAAGGTGTCCGCCTCTGCCCCACTTAATCTCCGGCCCTTGGCTGGGTTTGCCAGGGCTCTGCTTGCTGGGTGTGTGCACACGTGTGCAAGTGTGCGTGTGTGTATGTGCACACACACTTCCTTCATAACGCTTCCTCCCTCTCTGCCTGCCTCGTCCCCCCAGGACTTTTTATTTGCTTCTCTCATGGTGACTCGGGTCTTTACCCTCTCCTGGCTTTGTCCTCAGATATCTTGACCCTCCACTCCCACACGAACCAGTCTGTGCGACTAGAGGGAACGAGGAGTCACTGAGCCAGCCACCTCCTCTCGCCCTCCCAGAGCCTCGGGGTCCCCTCTCCACCCCCTGTGTGGCATGCAGTAGGGAACTGAGCGCAGAGCACCTCTCCATTATTATTCCCCTTCTCCAGGAGCCCCAACAGCCCATATGGGGACGTGATTGGCCTCCAGGTGGACTACTGGCTGGGCCACCCTGGGGAGCGGAGGAGGGAAGGTGACAAGAGGGACGCCAGCTCCAAGAACACCCTCAAGAGTGTTTTCCGCTCAGTGCAGGTGTCCCGCCTGCCGCATGGTGGGGAGGCCCAGCTTTCCGGCACCATGGCAATGACTGTGGTTACCAAAGAGAAGAACAAGAAAGGTGAGTGACCTCTGAGGCCGGGGACAGTCAGGGCCACCAGCCCCCCCGTCTCCTCTCTCAGGGCCACCAGCCCCCCCGTCTCCTCTCTCAGGGTCACCAGCCCTCCCCGTCTCCTCTCTCAGGGTCTGGGACAGAATCTGCTTCTGGGAAACCTTGGATGAGGGCAAAGCAGCACATGGATCATGTGGTCCAGTCTAGGGTCCCGCGGGGGTCCTGTCTCACCTGTGGGACAAAGCCATTCCTGCTGTAATGAAGGAAACTGAAGTCCCCAGTGAGTCACTGGTCCCTGCCTGCTGAGCGTCAGCACCTTAGGGGCCCAGGCAGTTAGCACTGCCACAACGAAAGAAGTCTTTCCAGCCACTGCCCTCAGGGGTGGACTGTGTGGCAGAGGAGGACATCTCCATGCCACATCACCAAGGTCACCATGGCCCCATGGATCAGAGCGTTTGCACCCAACCCTGGAGGCCACTCAAGCCTTTGTGAGCAAAAGGGCATGTAGTTGCTTTCTAAGAATTAAAGGGAATACAGCCCATTCCGGATAAGAGGCGTGGCTTCAGGCAGCAGAGGGAGAGTTGGGGGTCCTGTGCTCTGGGCGAGTGAGGCAGGAATCCCCACACCCAGGCCATGCTGGGGCACTGCTTGCCACTGTCGGTTGCACTTGTAAACCCACAGATCTGGCTGTGCATCTGCCCCACAGGCAGGCCGGGGGGGGCTCTCAGGCCCCCACAGCCCCCCAGCTCTCAGGAAGTGGGCTTCCTCTAGCTGCTGGCCTCTCCCTCCTCCCGGCACTCCCAAAGCAGCTGGGCCTCTTTCTGTTCGTGCCTCTGCTCCACAGGGGCACCTGGGGGGCAGGCAGGGCTGTATCAGGCCTGCAGCCAAACCTGCGACTGCACCCCAGAGGCTTGCCTAGGGTGGGCCTCTCAGGTCGGCAGGGCCCTCCTTCTTTCCTCTTCCTGGGTGGGAGGGGAACGAGGGGCGCTTACGCCGATGTCCCCATCCCCAGGCAGAGCTAGTACACACACTGCTGCACAGCCCCGCTCCCAACCCCAGAGACACAGCCTCACGCGGGCGCGCGAGTGCGCTAGTGCGCAGGAAGGAGACGTCCCACAAGCTGCCTAGAACATTCAAGCTAGACAGGACTTCAGAGACCATCTGGCCCCAGGTCCTCGTTACGCAGATAAAGATATCGAGGCCCAGGGAGGGGAGAGGAGCGGGAACTTAGCCAAGGTCAGGAGACCAGTGCTGGACAGGGCAAGAACTTGAAGATCCTGATACACAGCCCAGAGCTAGAGAGCAGGGGAGGAAAGACTGACTTTCTCCAAATCACCTCCCTTTCCCACGAAGAGAGGGGGCGGTGTGGGTGGGGGAGGAGAGGGGTGGCTGCACCTCCAGAGGCTGTGACTGACTGGGTTCCTGCTTGCTTTCCAGTTCCCACCATCTTCCTGAGCAAGAAACCTCGAGAAAAGGAGGTGGATTCTAAGAGCCAGGTCATCGAAGGCATCAGCCGCCTCATCTGCTCAGCCAAGCAGCAGCAGACCATGCTGAGAGGTGCGGGCTGGGCGCGGGAGGAGGGGCGAGAGGCAGGGCGGGAGAAGGGGGACAAGGGACTGTGGGGCAGGGAGGCGATGGCCCTCCCCGAGGGACCCTGGGAGTTGGCCTTAGCAGCCCTGGTCACCCCTGCCCCTTCCCCTGTCACCCCTAGTGTCCATCGACGGAGTCGAGTGGAGTGACATCAAGTTCTTCCAGCTGGCGGCCCAGTGGCCCACCCATGTCAAGCACTTTCCAGTGGGACTGTTCAGTGGCAGCAAGGCCACCTGAGGGCCCTGTCTCCTGGCCACTCTCCCTCCTGGCACTGCCACCAGCCTCACCGCCTGTGGGCAGGGGGAGGCCCGCAGGCCCGGGCCCAGCACCCCTTTCCTGGCCTTGGGGCCTAATATCACTTGCCCAGTCCTGAAGGACACTGCCACTGGGGATACTGCTCCCCTCTCCACTGCTCAGTCCCATCCCTGGGCAGCCCCCTCCCTCCCTCTCTCCTTTTCCTCCTCTCCCTCCTGCTCCAGGCCCAAGGCATGTTGATTTTGCCTTCTGGTGCCGTCCCTGGAATTGAGTCCTCTGGGCCTTCCTTCACCTGACTTCCAGCCTCTTCCCCTATGTGGCACCGGTTCCCTTCCTGGAAATAGGAAACCTGGAATCCTGGCCCCCAGCAGGGAGCCCAGCCCGCACCTCCCGCCACCTCTCGGTTTCTAAAGCCCAGCTGCCTGCCACGAATGGGGGCCAGGGCCACTTCCCACTACTGCGTGGTTCTCCCCGTGGAGGGTGAGAGGGTACCCTGAGCCCATGGGACTGTGTGCCCCTTCACAGTCCCAGGACCAGCTCCCTGCTCCCTCACCCCCAGGATAGTGTTTCTATGGTGATGCCATGTATTTCTGAGATGGAGGGGCCTTTCCGGCCCCCCATGCACGACTTCCTCACCACCCCTGGTCCCCTCTAGATGTTGCATATGTCCTTGAGCATTTCTCTGGTTCTCTGCACGGCCAGTCTCTTGGTGGTTCCGTGTGATTCGCCTGGGCACCGGTCCCTGTCTTTGTGGCTCCTCCCTTGTGGATGATTCTCCTCCCTCTGCCTCCCACCCGCTCCACCCCAGCACGGCTCTGCCTCTTCCTGAAACTCTGGACTCGGAGAGATGGGAGGCAGACCCCCACCAACATATTGTCTGTGACCCGCCAGCCCCTTTGTCTCCCCGTTCCCACCGTGTCCGTTTGTCTCTCTTTCCGTGGTCTGTTCTTCCTGTCCTCATTCCTGGGCTCCTGGCCTAGGCAGACACTCCATCCTCCCAGCCAGGTCTCTCTCCAGCAGGCTCCATCCCCTCCGTCTCACCTCGGCTCGGGGTCTGAGCCCCTCCTCAGCCTCGACCACCAGCCTTCTCAGGACAGGCTGAGCACACAGGTCGAGATCCCAGCCGCGGCCCTCCATCCCCACCAGCACCTCCAGAGCTTTCCCGGTGCCCTCTCACCCCTTCTAGAAGTTTTTGCACAGAACTTCATTTTGAAAAGTGTTTTTCTCATTCTCCATACTTCCCCAAACTCCTCCAGCCCTGACCCTGGCTCAGCCCTGCTGTCCAGAGCGTCTCCTGGGCCGCGCTGCTCTCTCGGGGCCGGAGAGAGGGGTGGGGTGGGAGGGACTGAGTGGATGTTGGATTTTTCATTCAATAAACTGGTGATTTCTTACCAACTAGCAAGCCTTGGGCTTCTGTGCCTCTCACTGTGACACAGGATCTGTCCAACCCCCTCTCCTCTGCACAACATAGCCAGCTCTGCTCCAAATCAACTAGGAACTAGCTGGAAAGAAGTGAATTCCCATTTTCTTAATTATAGAAACAGAAGCATGAAGATGTCTTGCCCAGTATGAGGCAAGCGGAGGTCAGAAACAGAAATAACACCATTCCCACACCAAAATCCTATTTTTCTCCAGGACTCACCATCCCCAAATCTTACCTCCCAAGCCAGTGTCGTGTCGAGGGCAGTTTCCGCTCTTCTGATTGAAGACTAGAACTTGGCTTCTCTCCCCCTACTAGGTTGATGTCTTGCCGTAGTTTCTGGAAGTTGGTGAAGTCTGAGGCCAAAGCGGTCTTTGCCTCTGCAGGTGGAGGAGGTGGAGCTGGGACCCATCGCTGAGTTCACTTTCCTGCCCGTCCTTAACCTTAGAGATGGCAAACAGTCCTAGCCCCTGCTCCCGGGGGCCTGGTCCTTCCTGCCCTCCCAGGACAGGCCTGCACACCCAGCCTCCGCCCGGGAAGAAGTGCCAGAGGTGGGGGCTTGCATGGGGGGACTTGGTGTCCTCGCCCTGCAGGACATAGCCACAGAGGAGTGGACAGCCAAGTAGAGCAGGCTGTCACAGGCTCCCCAAGCCCTGTGACCAAATGACCTAACGGAGGGACGCTTGGACCCCAGCTGTGTGGCCCCGTACAAACTCTGAGTCTGGAGAATGGAAATCATGCCTACCTCCCGAGGGAGAGGATCCAGTGAGATCTGTGAAAGTGTCCCAGAAATGCCATCTGCATGTTAGTTACCGAGTGAGGTGTACACTCTGGTCGATAAGAGGAAACACCAGGAGAAGTCAAATCGTGTCTGAGGTGAACTAGCGAGGAGACAAGCGTTGCCTCTGGGCAGAGGGAAAGTGCCCACGACAGGTCTTCCCAGGAGGGCAGGGGCTGTGGGGACCCTGGAACTGGTGGCATCCCAAACGGGAGGGTGGGGGACAAGTAGACTCGGGTCTCAGCTCCTTGCCGTCTCAGCTTCCAGCTCAGAACCGAGAAGAGGGAGCAGTTGATGGGAGATGAGAGTGAGGAGGAGGCCTGAGCTCCCAGCCTGCCTGCCTCTGACTCCAGTCCTCGGCCTCCCGCCTGTGGCAGTCAGTGTCCCCGCTCCCACCCATGGGGTCCTCCCACCTTCAGGGCTTCGCTCCTGCGACTCCCCTCTCTCCTACATCATCAGCTCCCCCTCTCTACCTGCTCTTTCACGTCCACGTGCAAACTCGCAGTAACCATGTTAAAACCAAAAATCTCCCCTGGTTCTGGATCTCCTCTGGCTGCCACCCCTCCTCCTGCTCCCCTTACAGTGAAATTCTTCACGACAGTTCTTCGTGTTCTTGTCGCCACTTCCTCCCGCTCCTCAGGCTTTTTCCCTCACGACCCCATCAAAGTTTCCCTGACCAGGGTCACCGGTGACCGAGGTGCCAAGTCCAAGGGTCAGTTTCTTCTTGACCTTTCAGGAGCACTTGATGCCCACGCTCACGTCTGATAGAGTCTCTGTCTCCACTTGGCCTGTGGATGGCACTCTGCTCTCCCCCCGCTTCACTGACTGCTCCCTCTTGGCTCCCTTACTGTGTCCTCCTCTTCCAGCCTCTGGCCTCCTCTCCCCTCTCTCAGCCCTGTGGGGTGGAAGGCTCCCCTGTGCACGGCCTTCTCCCTCCATTCTTCAGCTGCTGAGGCCAAGAGCTTTGGAATCATCCTTGACCTCTTTCTCATACCCAGCATCCAATCCACCAGCACATGCTACAGGCTTTCCCTTCAGGACCCATCCAGAACCCAGCAGCTGCTCACCGCTTTCACTGCTGCTATTATCTCTCGTCTGGATATTGTAATCGCCTCCTAATTATCTCTGTTTCCACCTCCTCTTCCTGTGTCTATTCTCACACAATAGCCAGAGAGAGCCTTTTGAGATGTTAATCAGATCGCCTTAAGTTACTGTTCCAAACCATCCAACGGTTTCCCATCCCACTAGGAATATAATCCAAAACTCTCATCATACCCTGCAAGGCCTGCCTGATCTGACCTCCCAGGGCTGCTTGATCTCATCTCATCTCTCACTCTCCCCTCGCTCACTGGCTTCTACATGCCTCAGACACACCGGGCACATTCTGTCTCAGGGCCTTTGCACAAGCTGTTCCTTCTGCCATCCTTCTCCTGCCCCTAGGTCCATGTGGCTTGCTCCCTCGTTCAAGTCTTGACTTAAATGTCACCTCTGAGAGGCCCTCCCTGTTCAACGAGTCTAACATAGCACCTCCCTCTTCTCTCACCCTTCTTTGTTTTTCTTATTAGCTCTTCTTCTTGGCATTTATTCTTTGGCTCATCACAGGTACACAATACATTTTTGTTGACAATGAATGAAGAGCCCTCACACTGCTGGATCAGGGTCCCTAATTCCAACCTGCTCCCCAGACACTTTGATGCCTCAGCCCAAAGGACACCTGAGTTTTCTCACCAGCCCTGGAGTAAGAAGATAGACTCCTGCTCTGAGCCAAGAGGAGGCAGAGGGTTGTGTGGGAATGGTTTCCAAGATTGCAAACACGAGGCTCTCAGGTGGAAGACTGATGCCTGAGACAACTTGCCCAGTCACCGAGTCAAGGCCAGACCAGAGCAGAACTGCCCACGGGGCCACCAGAAACATTCTCCAAAGGCGAAGGGGTGGCACTGGGTGCAGAAGGTGGGAGAACCCCCATCTAACCTGCACACCAACTCCAGGCTGGTTTTATGTTTAATTTAAAATAAACTTTGTATTTCAAAATCGTTTAGCTTTACAAAAAAGTTGCAAAGATAGAACAAAGAGTTACTGAGCAGCCTGCACCCAGGTCCCCCCCCGTTAGCATGTTACGTTAGTATAGTCATCTGTCCCAGCTAATGAACCAGGACAGACATGGTCTTACTCACTAAAGCCCGGGCTCACTCGCAACCCTTGGTTTTTCCCTCGTATCCTTCTCCATTCCAGAATGCCTCCAGGAGACCACACCACGTTTAGTCCTTTGGGCTGTGACAGTTTCTCAGACTTCCCCTGGTTTCGATGACCTTGACAGCTGTGAGGAGTACTGGGCGGGTATTTGGTGGAATGTCCCTCCACTGGGATTTGTCAGCGCATCGCATCAAGGGTAGTGCCATCTGTGTGGCATTCCCGTGATGTTACCCTCGCTCACCCGGCTGGGGTGGTGTTGCCCCCTTTCTGTGCTGCATGCTGTGCTCTCTGGAAGGCAGTCATTAGGCACAGCCCTCACCCAGGAGTGAGGAGCTTTCTTCTCCATGAGTTTTTGGAATCATTCTGAGCAGCAGATTTCAGATTAGTGTTTTAAACGACTCCTTTCATCACCCACTGCTGTGTCCGAGGACTGGCTCGCTGTCACCGACGGGCATTTTCCTCTAGCCAGGCCGCTGCTGAGTGCTGCATGGGGCGTATTTCGCTGAATCCTTGCAGTGGCCCTAGGAAGTCAATTCGGCCGACATTTCCTTTTCACCAAGGAAGAAGCCAAAGGTCAGAGAGCCGCCCCTCCTGACTCTAGCCTCTCATTTCTAACCATTTATTTGACTTGAATCCTCACAGAATCTCAAACCTAATACGGCCAAAACGGAACTCTTGATTCCCTCTATCCTCCCCAGTGTTGGTAAGTGGCACCAGTATCCATCTTATCCCTCAAGCCAGAAGCCAACGGGTCATCCCATGTCACCTCAGTGACTCCTGTCTATTCGGCTTCCCAAACACTGCTCCCAAACATAAGCCAGAGCGCCCTCCTCCCCTGCTAGCGTCCTTCACTGCCTTCTTAATGCCTTTTGAATACAGCCGCCCGACCCACGATCCAAAGGCCCGCACCATCTGCCCCCGTCTGCCTCTAACTTCACTTCCAGGTGCTTTCTCCCCCATTCTCACCACCCTGAGCCACACCTGATCTTTCTGGAATCAGATCCCTCTTCCCCGCACTGGACCTGAACGTGCTGCTCTTCCCACCTTAAATGCACTCCCCGCCCCCAGAGCTACCCCTTTTCCTTCAGGATGCAGCCTGCGCATCACCTCAGAGAGGCCTTCCCAACCCCCCAGCCCGAAGCCCAACTGTTAGTCTCCACCTCAGCCCTTTCTTCAGTCGTGGCGTTCACTGTCACCCAACGTGTCTGTGCCACATTGGGCCAGGGACTCGGGCTGACGTGCTCACTGCTGCATCTCCGGCCCCCATCACTCTGGCATTTGGCCAACACTCAAAAGCCAGCTAGGGATGAGTGGTTAAGTCACTTGTCCCACGCACACAGATCGGCTGGAAGGAGCTGGATTTCTAGCCCAGGTCATGGGACTCTCTCAAGGCCTTACTCAGATCCCAACTTCCCCACCATCCATACAGCCTACATGTATTAAGTTCCTACTCTGGGTCAGTTCCTGTCGAGGTGTGATGCTACGGGAGGAATACAGGGTTGGGTCCTTACCTATGCGGGAACTCTGAGGCTAGGAGGGGAGACAGACAAATAGACAATTGCCTCACAGCATGACAGGTTGCATGGGAGCACATGGGCGAGGCATCTAATCCAGCCTGGGGAAGGTGCATCCAAGAAGGCATCTCACCTGAGCAAAGATGCCTGACACCATGGATGTTCTGGGTACAGGAAATAGCAAACACTAGAGATCAGAGAGAGTCTGGCCCGTTCTGAGACCCACGCGTGGTTTAGTGTGGCTGAAAAGCAATGGAAATGGCGAGTGATAGGGCAGAAGAGAAAAGAAGCTGCCGGGGCACTGAGGAGGCTCGTACCTATGATTATTACTGTGCTGTGCCAGAGCCAGGACTGCCCTAAGGAGCCCCCAGTCTTGAGTGCTTATGTGTGAAGCTGCTGACATTTTAAGGGGGATGCCCCCGACCACTTCAAAGAAAACGAGTGACGCTAGCCAAAAGAAAAAGAATAATTTCAGAAAGCAGATTTCAGTGGGCTGAGTGCTTCCGAGGATCCAAGGGGAAGGGGTGGGAGCAGTGGGAGTGATGTTCAGGGAGAAAACAAGATTAAAAGTTGCAAGAATGACTTTCCCAGGCATGGGACAGGCGGGGGCAAGCTGATGAGCTCTGCAGAAAATGGCATACGGAGCTGAATCACATTGGGCATGGACTCCTTCCTTCCTTCTCCATCAACTGAGCACCCATCAGCAGCCTGGCAGGAAACCAGCCACTGTGGGGGGGGTGCAACACAGACCAGGATGAAGTAACAGTCCCTTCCCTTGGGAGACGCACAGCATAATCCTCAGAGACAAGATAAAAAGCCGAGCGGCTCAAAAGGCTAAACACAGGCAAGGTTAAGCAGTGAAAGCAAGATAAGAGCCTGAGAAGCAGTGGAGAAGGCCCAGCCTCCCCTCCGCCCAGCACACGGGGAGGAGCAGGGCCAGATGCCGAAAGGAAATCACAAAGAAAGCACCAGAGCCTGCAGAGAGTTAGCAGAAAAGCCGGAGTAAGAACCCAACAAAAGTCATAAAGGGGGATTGAAAAATGTTCTTTCTGTCAACGTGGAAAAAGATGCTAAAAGGAATGTGTGCCTTTATTAGATGGAGAGAACACAGGGAAGGAAGCAGGGGCTGTGTACGTGTGTTTGCACTTGGGTTTGTATGGTATGCACGTACGTGGGCCTATAAACACATGGAGGTGTGCATGTGGTGTTCAGGGCCTCTGGGTGAACCTGCGTGAGGCTGTGTATAGGAAGTGTGCCCAACTGGGCTTTTGGGTGAGTGTGAACCGGCAACTCGACCTCGGTTCTCTTGACTTCTACTCCATGTGGTCAGCCTCTCTTGCACACTGGGACGAAGTGACCTGGACTCTGGATTAGAGAAGGACATAGTGCTCACTGGGAGCCTGAACTCCCTGGGAACAGCAGGCTCCCTCATCTCATGCCTTCTTCTCTCTGGGCCTCAGTTTCCTTGCCTGTAAAATAAAGACACTTAAGCAGAGGCTTTCAACCCAGGGTGCACATCACAGGCACTGCTGAAGTCCTAAAATAATAAGAGATGCCCAGGACCCACCTCCAGAAGGTAGCACAGAATCCCAACCTCTAGAAGGAGAGCCTTCTAATGAAGTTCCTTCACGAGAGATCCTGAAACCGAGCCTTGTTAAGAACAAGAAAGGTGCCTGGGACTCCAGATTCTGTTTCCTCCCCGTGAACTTGCTGGCAAGTTGAGGGTGCGGTCATGGTCTGATGGAGTCTCATGCACAGGGGCAGGCTTGTCACACCACAGCCAGTACACCTCCGGGAGACAGGGCCAACGTGAGGGCTGAAGGACAACAGATCCTTTGGGCAAAGACTCCAACCTTCAGGGCCCTGGAGGAAAACCGACCAGATGAAACCGACAAGGATAACGCAAGCTCTGCACGTATGCAAACCACATAATCGATGGACACTGGGAACAGCAGGTGCTTCTGGGGAGGGGAGCTGCACGGCTGAGGACAGTGGTCAGAGAGAAAGAACAACTTTTCATTGTAACGTGTATATGCCTTTTGAATTTTGCATTATATATGACTGTATTAGCTACCTTTAAAAGTCACCAGGAAAAAAATCATCGGCACAAGCACAGGATGGGGGAGAAGAACCTGGCTAGATATAACCTGAATGAGCGCAATCTAGGGTTTGGGCTGGCAAGCGTATGCTGAGCAGGCACAGCTCAGTGGCTGTCAAGGTCAGCCTGACATGCAACTTCACGGTGGACAGGTGGCATGCTCATTAAGGGGGGACTGCCCCTCTGTGATCTGTGCAGTTCACTCCCTGTCTGGATCCCTGGGCCATGGATTGAGCACCACATTCTGAGCGGTGTCTGAGCTGACATGTTAAACTATACCCAGAAAAGAGAAATCAGGATGGAGCAGAGTCAGGAAACTGGAGCAAGGGTGGGTGAAGGGACCGGGATTGTCAGCCCAGGCAAGAGGAAGACTGGATGGGGCCCCATTGCTGCCTCCAAATATCTCAGTGACAAAAGGGAGCAGACTGCTCTTCCTGAAGACAGCTGCGGTTTGGTGTGGGTGAGCAATGCAGGAAGGGACTTTGGGGCTATCAAAGGAAAACGTTCTAACCTTTAGAGTAGCCACAGCAGAATGTAGTAAGCTCCCTGTCACAGGAAGTACTCAAGCTAGGGGCACCGGACCATTTCTCCGTCAGAGATGATGCCAAGGGGATTCTCGCACCCACCAGGACACAGAACCTGGGGAAGCCTGAGTCTGAACCCATCCTGACTCATGAGGAACATCCCAGATCCCTGGTAGCAGTGCCAGGCCTTGTCGTGCAGGTTTTGTCCCTCGGGGTGGTGATCCTGCTGTCACCCACTAGTGACATCGACCTAGAAGCAGTGGGGGCAGTGCCAGGTAGCCACCAATCCAGGGCTGCAGAGCACCAGGTCAAAACTTGGCCCTGGCAGGGACTCGGCAAGGCCCACAGGTACACCCTTCTGCCCTGCTTAAAACTAGCATTTACTGAGTGCTATTATGTAGCTGGCCAGGGGCTCCTCTGGGAGTGAACAAGACTACATTCTAGGGAGGAAACAGAAAACCGCAAGAAAAATGTTGGAAGGGATAAATGCCATAGGCAGAATTAAATGGGTGCATGACATGGACTGGAGAGGTGCTCTCCACGCGGGGTGGAGAATCAAGGAAGGGCGTGAGCCCTAAATGACATCACCTGCCTTGATCCTCGGTCAGCAGCATTTGTTGTGGTCTTCACCCACAGGGGCACGAGTCTTTGTTTCGGCAGATGCCCAGCTGCCCTTTGCCACTCTCATGTCCCTTCCGGCCGGAAGCCTCCGTCCCTTGCCCCAAGAAGCAGCCCTAAGATGCCATGAATCCCCTACAGGAACATGGACAACTCCGAAAGAGGTGAGTGGGGGCGTAACCAGCCTCTAAAGACAAATGAGCCTGGGATCAGATCTGTGAGATGCGGATAATAGCAGTGCCCCACTTCATAGAGTCTTTGTGAGCATTGAGCGAATTAACGCACGTAAGGCACCAAAGCGCCCACAACGCACTTTAAGCGCTCAGAAAGTGGCAACTCTCTCAATAAATCTCAGTGTCAAAGGTTTCGCTCTGGACTCCGAGGAGGCCGGGCCTGCCCACTGAGCCTCAGTTTCTCCCGCCATCTTCTCTGGCCGCGGCACTGGGTGCGTTCAGGTTCACAATCTCCGAGCCTCTCCCCACCTCTGCGGCCTGGGGGCGGTTTACAGTCGAGGAATCCGGCGCTGCCAGAGCGTGCGAGTCGGCGGCCGGGAACCTGCGCCTGGGGCCAGCCCACGCCCGGTCCTCGGTGACCACGCCCTCCACCTCGGATGGCCACGCCCCTACACCTCGAAGGCCACGCCCCCGATTTTCCCTCTAGCCTGAAGCGGCCGGGCCAGCACGCTCCTTTAAGGCAATCCCGGGCAGGGAAGAGCGTGTTTCGCCCCCTCCGACCCTGCCGAGGTAGCAGCTTCACCTTTAAGGCGGCGCGGGGACTTCTGGGAAGGCCGGCGGGATGGAGGCGGCGGGCCCGGCTCACGGCTGCCGGTCCGGGTGAAGCGGGGCGGGAGCCAGAGCCGGAGCGGGAGCAGGGCCCGAGCGGGAGGCGCAGGTCCGCGCGGGCCGATCGGGCCGGGAGACGGGGCTCTGGGTCAGCGCACGGGAGGGGTCGTCGTGGGCGCGGCCTGTGGGAGGACTGGGCCGGCCCGCGGGGAGGGGGCGCCGTCCTGGGTGGCCGGGGCCGGGAGCTCGGCCTTTTCAGGGGAGGGGTCCGCAGGGCCTCGCGCCGTCCTGTGGGGAGGGGTCATCGTGGGCGCGGCCTTGGGGGGGGGACGGAGAACCCGAGATCTCAGCTTCTCTAGGGGAAGGGTCTCCCAGGGTCGGCCTGCCCAAGAGGAGGGGCTCTGTGGGCTCTGTGGCTCGGCCTGCCTGTTGCCGAGGGGGCTGCCCCAGGGGCTGGGGCCGGATCTCCGGAGGGGCCGGGGTCTCCCGCACGGGAGTGAGCCCCCAAGACCCCGCTAGGACCGTGCTCCGGCGCACCGTGCCCCGGCTAAGGGAGTCCCCGGGGAAGCCCCGAGATCGGGCCACCTAAGCCGGCCTGAGCCGGTGGTCTGGGCCGAATCCGGGTCCAGCCTCACCGGCCTCACCGCATTGCGTCTCCCGGGCCGAGAGGAGTCGGGCGCGCCCCCTGTAGGCCGAGCGCGGGCACGGTGCTGGCTGCCGGCTGGGGGACCTGGGCACCCTGGGGACCCAGGCGTCTTGGGACCGGAGGTGTTTACCTAATCCGGGGCGGACGGCGGTGTGGTCCCAGGCCCGGCACCCGCCTGCCCGCCCCCTCGCCTTCACAGGTGGCGCGGCCATGGCCACGATGGTGCTTCCCCGGGAGGAGAAGCTGAGCCAGGATGAGATCGTGCTGGGCACCAAGGCCGTCATCCAAGGGCTGGAGACCCTGCGCGGGGAGCATCGTGCCCTTCTCGCTCCCTTGGTCGCTCACGAAACCGGCGACGCTGAGCCAGGCTCACAGGAGCGCTGTGTCCTCCTGCGCCGCTCCCTGGAGGCCATCGAGCTGGGGCTGGGGGAGGCCCAGGTAGGCGGGGCTGGGGTGCTGAGGTGGGAGGTCATGGGAGGGAGGGAGCGTTCCAGAGGAATCTTGGCAATATACGAACAGAATCTGAGCAGGGAACCGTCTGTCCCCTGGAGCCCTGTGATGGGACCCCAGTAAATATCTGTGGAAGAAATGAATGGGATTTGGCGAACCCAGTCATGCCTTGCTGCAGGAGAACCTGATCATCCTTTAGCTCCCACACAGAACCTTGTTCCTGCCTTCTCTGCTAGGTAGCAGAGAATGAATGGTCTAGGAGATTAGAGGGGAAATCCTGAAGGAAACACCCTTCTCCCCGGTTCGTTTTTTAATTCATTCGTTAACAGGTAAGTTATCAAGTGCCCACAATGTGCCAGGGATACAAGTCCAACAAGACAGACAAGATCCCTGCCCTAGTCCAGTAGGAAGAGAGTCAGAAACACACATACATTTGTTACTCATTGTGATAAGTTCTCCAAAGCAAACAACAAAGTTTATGATAGCTTATGGCAGGAGGTCTTACATATTGCTCAGGCAAGACTTCTGAGGAAATGACATTTAAACAAGGACCTGAAGGAAAGAATGAACCTGAAAAGGGAGGAGGGCGAAAGAATGCACGTGCAAAGGTCCTGAGGTAGGAAAGATGTAGTGGAAGAATTGAGAGAAGACCTGTCTGACTGGAGCTTCATGGGGAAGGAGAGAGGGACAGAAGAGGCCTCTGGAGAAGGCAGGGGCCAGATCATGCTGCACCTTATTAGTTTGGGTTTATTCTCTGGAAATGGGGAAAGCTTTGGAGAGCTTTAAACAGTCAAGGAACACAGTATGACTTACGGTTTAAAAGCTCCCTCTGGCTGAGGTGTGGAAAATGAATCATAGTGGGTCAAGGGTGGACACAGGGAGCACATAGTTTGGAAGCCACTGTTGGAATTCAAATGAGGAATAGTGACTTGGAGAAAAGGAATGGCCATGAGGGTGGAGAGAAGGGGACCAATTCTAGGTGTTCCGGAGGTAGGTCCAGCAGGGATGGAGTGAGGGAGAGAGAGGAGGGCAGGGGAACTCCCAGGTTTGTGGTTTGAGCAGGTTAAGGGGATGGGAGAGCCTGCATGGTCAGGAGTTCTGTTTCAGCCTCTTAAGTTGGGGCTGCTGGGACAATGGGCAGATGGAAATATCCAGGAGCAGTGGGGGTAGAAGGAGTTAGGCTCCGGGGGAAAGAGTCTTGGCCTCCTCAGATGCTGGCTGAGACACCGCCTGGCTCCGTGACTCCTGGGCAGGTGGTGTCATCCTGGTTTCCTTGTCTTTAAAATAGGGATCATGCCATCTGCTGTATATACCGCCAGGCTGTTCAGGAATTTTTTTAAAGCTAGCGGTTGTGAAAACACCTGTCACTTAGGCATTTGCTAATCAACTAGAGAGCGCAGGGTCCCAGACTGCCTGGCCCTCTGGAAGGGCAATGTGCTGGTCATTCACTCCTCGGCCAGTTGGCTGCCAGGTGCAGAGATGAACACACAGGGGCTCCCCTCCCGGTGTGCGCAGGCACCGGCACAGATGGGCTACAGGATGGCATGGACACAGGAAGGTGCCCTGCTCTCCTGGGGCGGAGGACATCAGAGGGAGGAGGCTTCACTGCAGACATGACCGTGACCGTGAAGGATGGAGGAAGGCCCCAAGGCAGGAAGAGCCCGGAAGCTCAGGAAAGGAGTCAGAGAGTTTGAGGAGAGGGGTAGGGCTGAGGCCTCTGGGTCCCCTTGCCATCTGGGGGTTTAGGACACACACACCTTCCCTCCTGGGAGCTGCAGAAGGGCAGGGGCAGCCCTGGACCCTTGGGACCCTGGACCCAGAAGTCAGGTTGGGGTCTTTCAGCCACCTCTTGGGTTCTTTGGGAAAGTGCTAGCCCTGGGGCTGGGGCAGTGGGATGGCAGCTGCGGCTGCAGAGGCTTGCGTACAGCCCCCAGGAGAGCCAGGGAAGAGAATGGCTAGCTCGGGAAAGCGCAACCAGCCCTTTTCGTGATCAGCCCAACGAGGTGGGAACCGTCAATGCGGAGGGTTAGCTGGAGGCCCAGGAAAGAGGATGGACTTTTTCAGAGTCCAGCAGAGCAGCCTGGGAGCCCAGGGCTTCTGACCCCAGAAGGAAGGAGATGGGGATCCCCGAGCCTTCTGGGCTTGGATCTTGGACTACGGTCTGTTTGGAGCCTTGGGGAAAACTCCTTTGATGACAGGAGAACTTCGAGGCCCTCAGCCCTGCAGCTCCTCACAGGGCCAGGCCTGGTCTTTGCTGGGCCCCAGGGCCCCAGGAGGCCCAGGCCGGGGGTGGCCAGGGCTCTGACCCTCATCCCTGCTGGCTCCCGCAGGTAATCCTGGCACTGTCGAGCCACCTCGGGGCCGTAGAGTCAGAGAAGCAGAAGCTGCGGGCTCAGGTGCGGCGCCTGGTGCAGGAGAACCAGTGGCTGCGAGAAGAGCTGGCAGGGACGCAGCAGAAGCTGCAGCGCAGCGAGCAGGCCGTGGCCCAGCTCGAGGAGGAGAAGCAACACTTGCTGTTCATGAGCCAGATCCGCAAGTTGGATGACGACACCTCCCCCAACGTGAGCCCCTACCACGGCCACTGCAAGGCTACTGGGCAGGGGACCCTGGGAGCGAGGAGGGGCAGCATGGAGCAGAGTCCACTCCGACCCAGCCGCTGACATCTGGGCTGCCTTGTGCCTCCTTCCCTGACGCTCGTCTTGTCTTCCCCCCTAGGAGGAGAAGGGTGACGTCCCCAAAGACTCCCTGGATGACTTGTTCCCCAATGAGGAGGAGCAGGGCCCAGGTGCGGGGGGGGGCAGCCGGTTCTGGGAGTGGGGGAAGGGAGGGCTGTGTGAACTCCTTGGGACCCAGAGATCACCGGGAACGGGGACCAAGTGGTGCCATGTTCTTTCCTGCCTCGTTTCTGATCATCATATCCCAGCATGTTCGAGCATAAAAGGCAGGTTTCACATGTGGCTTCTCTCCTCCCCCCAAGCTCTGTGAGAAGCAGGCATCATAGTTCAGAGCTCCGGAGCCGCCCAGCCTGGGTTCAAGTCTCGCTCTGCCACTAGTTGCTCTGTGAGCCCTGGTAGAGTTTCTTTTTCCTCTCTGAGGACGCATGCGCAGGCTCAGCCCTGGGCCGGTGCTCACCTTGCTGATGGTGTGGAGTGTGTCTCAGACGCTCCCTTCTGCAGATGCGGAGGCTGAGGCTCGGAGGTTGGGTGCTTGCTCGAGGACGCATAGCTTGCAGTACTGGAGCTGTGACTCTATTCATTCTTGGGGGTGCCTAGACCCACTTCACAGATGGGGATACAGAGGCAGAATAGTGACTTGCCCAGAGCCACATGTCAAGTGAGGCTCTGACCTTCTGCCCTTGGCCTTGCAGCCCCCAGCCCTGGAGGAGGGGATGTGGCTGCCCAGCATGGAGGCTACGAAATCCCGGCACGGCTCCGCACTCTGCATAACCTGGTGATCCAGTACGCCTCGCAGGGCCGCTATGAGGTGGCCGTGCCACTCTGCAAGCAAGCCCTTGAGGACCTGGAGAAGACATCAGGGCACGACCACCCTGATGTGGCCACCATGCTGAACATCCTGGCGCTGGTCTATCGGTGAGGGCTCCTCTGGCCGCAGCCATCCACGGGAGCGCCTGCACTCCTCCCGGAGGCTCTAGCCCAGGTCACAAATCCTCCGTGCCTGCTGTGGGCCAGGACTCAGGCTCCACAGGCACTTGGGTGGCAGAAAGAGAAGGAACTTGTGCCCAGAGGGGGCTGAGCCCACAGAAGGCCTGGCCACAGACGTGAAGAAGCCTCAGTCTAGTGGAGGAGAACAGCTTGGACATAACTGGGAGGGGGCAGCACATGAGGACTCCGGGGGCGCCGGGGAGTTGGCACAGCTTCTCCAGGGACCAGGCTTAAGTAGGGTCTTTGGTGCAAGATGAGTTTGCCTAGAACATGGGAGGGTTGGAGAAGGTTCCCTGGCTGAAGCAGCATGAGCAGAGGCCCTGGGGAATCGAGAATCAGGTGCACTGGGCATGAAGCCTTGGAGGTGTGTCCTGGGGAGTCTGGGCAGTCCCGAAGCATGACTTGCCCTGGTGAGTGAGTTGAGAGTGAACTGCCCAGAGCCCCCGAGCTCCCGGAGGGCAGAGGCCGACCACGTCTCCCCACGCTCTGGGTCACACCCTGCCATGCCCGCTGGTCAGTAAATGCAGGAGGAGTGACCACAGGGATCTTGGGCCACTAGGGGGAGGGTCTTGGGCTGGAGGACAACCCTCACCATGCTCCTGCCTGCCCCCAGGGACCAGAACAAGTACAAGGAGGCTGCTCACTTGCTCAACGATGCCCTGGCCATCCGTGAGAAGACGCTGGGCAAGGACCACCCAGCTGTGAGTGAGGGTGGTGGGAGGTGGTGGCTGCCCCTGCGCCCTGCAGCTCCCAGAGCCCCTGCCCAGCTGGGCCCTAGGTCACGGAGCCTCCGTTCTACCACCCCTCAGGTGGCCGCGACACTCAACAACCTGGCGGTTCTGTATGGCAAGCGGGGCAAGTACAAGGAAGCTGAGCCGCTGTGCAAGCGGGCGCTGGAGATCCGGGAGAAGGTGGGAGCAGGCGGGGCTGGGCGGGCCGGGCAGGCAGGGGGCCTAGGCCGGCCCTCAGCCCAGCCACCGGCTCCTGCTCCCATCCCAGGTCCTGGGCAAGTTTCATCCAGACGTGGCCAAGCAGCTGAGCAACCTGGCCCTGCTGTGCCAGAACCAGGGCAAAGCTGAGGAGGTGGAATACTATTACCGGCGGGCACTGGAGATCTACGCCACACGCCTCGGGCCTGATGACCCCAACGTGGCCAAGACCAAGAACAACCTGGTGCCCTGGGCCGGGAGGGGCTGGAGGGGGAAGGGGGGGAAGAGGCTAGAAGAGGGAAGAAAGGAAAAGGCTCAGCTCCCTGCATCCTGTTCACCCTCTGGGCCTGCTCCTCCAGGCCTCCTGCTACCTGAAGCAGGGCAAGTACCAGGATGCAGAGACCCTGTACAAGGAGATCCTCACCCGCGCTCACGAGAAGGAGTTTGGCTCTGTCAATGGTGAGTCCGTGGCTGCCATGTGCCCCCAGCTCACCCAGCACAGGCCCACTCAGCCATTAGCGTGCAGGGCAAATACCTCAGCCCAGCAGGCCCTCACGCCTTGGGGCTGGCAGGTCCCCAGCCACTTGTGTGCACATGTGAGCACAAACGCTGAACTGGCTTGGCCCCCTGGGCCCTGCCCCTGCCATATACACCCTTTGCATAGCCCACGCCCTTAGCACAGAGTCTTTTCCTCTTTCTCTACTGGGCAACTCCTGTCCACCGTGAGGGCCCAGCTCCGATGTCTCCCGCTCTGGAAAGCCACCTTCTGGCCCCCGACGGCCAGTCATTTCCTGCTCTGGGATCCCTCAGCCTGGCGCATCATTTAGGCCTAGCACATATCTTGGGCTGTGGGCCCGAGGTATGTAAGTGTCGGCTCCCCGCAGCCCGCAATCACTAGCCCCTCAAGCACGGGCCTGTACCACAGTCATCTCTGTGTTCCAGAGGAGGGTCAGTAATGTTTGGGGTCTGTTTCTTGTTCGTTCATTCATTCATTCATTCATTCATTCATTCAACAAAGCCCAATCCTGGTCCTGCCTGGGTACCTCTGACCCCCACCCCAGACCCCAGTCCTGTGTCCAGCCCAACTAGGAGAGGCCTACATGGGAGGCTGGTGACAGCCCCTTTCTCCCCCCAGGGGACAACAAGCCCATCTGGATGCACGCAGAGGAACGGGAGGAGAGCAAGGTAGCTCTGTGGGGCAGGACTGGGGTGGGGGTCCAGGGAGGGAGGGTGAGGCTGGGGGGTCCCACCTCCCCTGACCATTCCTTCCCCCAGGATAAGCGCCGGGACAGCACCCCCTATGGGGAATATGGCAGCTGGTACAAGGCTTGTAAAGTCGACAGGTGAGGACAGTGGGGCAGGGCTGGCAGTGGAGCAGGGAGCAGGGAACCAGCATCCGGGCTGCGGGCCGGGGGCTGGGGACTGCACCAGGCTCCACACTCCATGCTGCTCACCCCTAGAACACACTCCTTTTTTCTGTCAGCTTGTCTTTTAAGGCCTGGGTCACAGGCCACCTGTCCCAAGAAGGCTTTTTGCACCTGCACAGCCTGATTATCTTGCTCCTGGGTTTCCCAGCTTTTAGTCCTGGTGGCAACATCCTCCTTAGGGCCCTGGAGCCGGGTCCCCAACCCTGGGGTGATTCCGCCAAGACAGGAGAATCCGCGCGGGCCTAGCACAGGGCTTAAGACACAGGCGGGGCGAGATTCTGGTTGGCTGGATGGTTCCTCAGAGCCCAGTGGGGGTCGG